TAATTCATTTTTAGTAATATTTTAGGGGTCTAATCTGATTAGGTTCAGTTTTATAATCATAATCTACGCCTAGGGTTTTAGTGGATAGTTCAAGAAGAGAAAAGAAGAGAAAAGAGGAGAGGATCAAGCGTTCATCGAGATTCTTGTGGTTTTTCGCCATGGGTTTGATCCCTCAAAGGTATGTAAGCTTCCATAGTGTTGGGTTTGTTCACCCACACGCCAATCATGTTAATTTCAGCATTAAGTTCGTTCTAGAAAGTTGAAGGTTAGATGTTCTTGAATTGTGTTCTTGAAATTGACTTTCATTCTTGAGTTAAGATGAGATTGATGAGTTTCTTGAGCAAATTATGTCGATTTTAGAGTTGTATTCGATGAGATTCTTGTGTACATAGGTTGAGTATCTTAATCTAAAGAGAAATTGAGAAAAAGAATCGAATCTAGGTGAATTACATTTAGAAAATGAAGAAGGAAAAAGTCATACGAATGTGACACCTTGCTCCGCGTCGCGGACCTTCCCTCCCTATGCCCAGAATCTTTCTCCGCGTCGCGGAGAGGTCACGAACCGTTCTGCCTCAAAATTTAATTTGCAACCAAATTTTTAAATGCATTTCCGCTTCACGGACTTGCTTCCAGACAATGATTTCTTGATCGTTTCTTATGTTTAACAATCTAAAAAAACTCCTAAACATCACGAGATATTTCCTATCACAAATCATAACCTTGAATTCATAATTCAAATTCAAGGTAGAGTTAAGAGTTAAGTCTTGAGAATTCTTTCGAACATTTTTGAGAAAGTCCTTTTGAGGAGTCTTCTACAGTTTCTAATAACTTGTTCATGACTCAAGTTAGTGAGCACGAGAGTGAGGAAAATGTATTCATGAGTCTACACTATCACCGAGATCCTTCATATCATGAACAATAACTCTTGAATTCATAATTCACATTCAAGACAGAGTTTAAAGTAGAGTTCAAGAGGGCCTTTAAGTTCAATCGAGAATGCTTTGAGATCAACTATCAATTTTGAGTTGAGTTTTGAGGAAGTAAGTACGATAATGAAAAGAGTCGTATACATGAGTTCCATATTGTTATGTAGACCCTCGAGTCGAGTTGTTTCGTGCTCATAATTCCGCATGAACCCTATGAGTTGAACATTCTTGAGATGAGTAGTATCCTGAAGTCCATGAGTTGAGTTGTTCATGCCCATAATTCCGCATGAACCCTCTGAGTTGAGTTATCTTGAAATAAGTAGTATCATTGAAGTTCTTGAGTTTAGAGTTGTTGAGTTCCAAGTATTGAGTTCTATGTATGGTTATTGAAAACCTTTAATTGAGTCGTTCACGTCCATAATTCGGCATGAACCTTATTTTAAGAAGTCTTTTCACAAATTGTTTTAAAACTTGTTTTAAAGACTTGAGCACTGAGTTGAGAAAGAGTAGAGTTGAGTTCATTTTCTTTACAATGATTTATGGGAACTAAGTATTCCTAAGAGTGAATGTTTTTACATTTAAGATGAGAGGAAGCTGAGATTTCCAAAAGAGTTTTGAGCAGTTTGAGTACTATCTCTTTTAAGAAAAAAATGAGTTTTGAGAAAGAGTTTCTAAAACATGATTAGTATGACAATGCCATCAATGCTTAAGCAGTGTGGTATCTAGATATACCATCAATGTTTATGCAGTATGACTTCCCGAGTCATCAATGATCATATTAAAATATGATTTTGATATGTTTTTTTTTGAAAGAGTTTTCAAGAGCAGTTACCTCTTTTAAGAGGGTAGTTTGAGCAATTATATCAAACCAGAGAAAGAGTTATGTTTTTAAACATATGAGCTGAGTATATTTTGGGAGTAGTATTGAGCACCGATATGGGGACGCGAGTTCATAATAACTCAAGTCTCCATAAACCATGTAGCCAACGTGGGTAGAAAAGGTCATACTTTTTAGATGATTCTTTAATGCATTTTAGCATAGACTAGTGGATCCACTTAGTTAAAGCGTTCTATATGACGGCAAAGTATAGGAAAGTTCTGGTAGTGTGGGCAAGACAATGTATCATCACTTAGGCCCATAGTGGTTGTTGTCGGTTAGAGAAACTCTCACAGAGTTATATTGTATTTTTATACACACATTGAGTATTATTGTATTTTTCAATACATTGAGTTGCTATCCACAATTTTACAACTTTTCATATATATTGCATCTTTTGCTATTGTTTTATCCTTGAGTTGAGTGTCTTGAGTTGATCGGTGCTTCATTGTGTCGAGTACCTTATTGTTGAGTTTCACTGAGTTGAGAATCTTATTACTGAGTTGAGTATCTTATCCTTGATTTAAGAATATAATTTATATAACTGAAGAGGTATAAGTTAAGAAGATGATTTTTCAAAAAAAAAATTTTGAAAGAAATAAGAAAAAATGTCAAAAAAAAAGAGAGAAAAAAATAAATATGAATGGAGGTCATAGAGAGGTGCCACATCACCTTCTCTATGTTCCTCCTTTATATAAATATATATATATATATATATATATATATATATATATATATATAGAGAGAGAGAGAGAGAGAGAGACAGAGAGAGAGAGAGATTTTCTTTGATGGATCTTCATAATTAATTGTAATTTGATGAATTATAGTAGCTAGTAATTGTGTTTTTAGTAGTTTTTAATTTTTAAAAATATGTGTTACGATTTTAAAATAATATATTATTTAGTTCATTATAAAAAGAGAAAATACATAAATCACTCTCATACTTAGCGGTCAAACTTACTTTAACACTTAAACATGAGTTTTTGGCCAAAAACATCTTTAAATTATACCCCAAACTTAAATTATATCCTTAAAATATCATTTTTTTTGGGGCAAAAAACATCCGTTAAGTATTTTAAAGTTAACAATTTCCATCCTTCTGTCAGATATCGTAAAAAAACTAAGGGATCCTACAAAAACATGAGCAATTCACGTGACTATCAACAAAAGTTTTCCTGCATAATTCCATTACCTACTATAAGATCCTGAAAAAAGATTATTAAAAATCTTAGACACCATTGCTTGTTGAAACAAAAAATGTTTGGAAGGTGTGAGGATACATGGTATGCTTTTTTTCTCATTTAGTAACAGAAAAAAGTTAGAGCTTACTTATCTTTACTATTTTCAAAGCTAAATTGTATTTAGATCAATAAATTGTTGGGCCAATCTGATATTGAAGTGATCAAAATATTAATTATGTCTCCATTTGAGTTTCATTCTACATTATTAGAAGCATAAGTCTTCAACAACGCCGCTTATAGCATATTAAATTGAGAAGAAACATATTTCAACTAATAATATCTTTAACATCAAATTACATGCAAAATAAATGAAAATATGTGTCAAATTAAATTTTTTTGCATAATGCTAAACTCAATTAACGAAAAAGTTCACGATAGTATTTTTGGCATATCTAAGAATAATAATTATGAAGGGATGACTTGATTTTTGCGAGATCTGTTAGTTTTCTGATAAATTCAAGTAAAATTCAAGTAGAAAGATGTAGTTTAAATTTGGGATATAGTTAAGGATGATTTTGGCAAAAAAACTCCTTAAACTTTATGACATTTGTTTACCCGTGATCTTTATTTACTTTAGCCGTCCATTATACTATTTGGCTATTTATATCCTCATCGTCACAAGACTTGTTACATATACACCTAATTGAATGAAAACCCCCAAATCCAAGAAGAAAGATACTCGATTTTGAAAGAAAAAGATTCAACTCATCTAACCTATCCAACCAAACTAAACTAAAAATTTGTCATTAATAGTTAATTCTCATACCTCATATTCATCAAAGGTAAAGATTCGTTTAACACTGGAACAGAAAATTTGGAAGTTTTGATCAATTTTCTGAAAAATTGCCTCCTCGAAAGAGAAAATCAGAAAAAAATTGATACTTAGATTAGACACTCATTTAGCAAGAAAATAATTGGGTTGGGTAATTTTTTTTGTTACTCCTAAAAAGGCCTATGAGGTTTATCTATCTAAGAAACTTGTGTTTGAGGAAATGTTGAAGAAGGCTAAAAAGCAGTCTTCGAACCTGAACATTGCATCATCTCCAGGACAAAGTCACTAAGATATCGTTTGTGAGGGTGTAAATTATCAACATAAACCTCATCTTCTAGGTTTCTATCCCTCTTGGATAATTAAGTTATACTTTAACTTGGATATCATCATTGTTGGAGGTTGATCACTATATCTCTACAAATAAATCCTTCTAGAGCTTAAAGTGAAACTTGAGACAAGCCCTTGCTAATTTTCCTTCTTCAGGGTATGTATGTATTCAAAATATAATGGAGCTTCCAAACTTTGTCAACAAGTTTTTTGTCTTGTATAAGAGTGGGTTAGCCCTTACTTCCCAAGTAGTACGAGCCAAAGGGGCAGCCCAAAGGAAGAAGAAGTCATTAATAACTAAAGTGGAAGGAAGAAGAAGTATGGCTGAATGGAATTAGGCAAATTTTCTTATTAATAAGATGGCCGAGTGGCCTTTTCCATAATTATACATCTCTTTTCGTTCAATTCACTTTTTTGCTAGGTGATGACACCAAATGTTGTGTAGCGTGTACAATAGATGACCACTTCTCAGAATCTTAATTTCCAACTTAGACTCATAATCTAAATTTAGGTATCCATCCTCGTTAGAAGCTCCTTCAAAGTCAGGTTTGTTGATGGTAACATTAGCTCTCAAAAACAAGATTGCGTAGGAGTCACCTGTCATAAATTTGTTCTTCTTGGTATGTGCATATGCCTAATGACAATAGAATTCCTTTCCAAACTCATCCGTCAATTTCGCGCACTCGTTCAAAACATGGAAGTAAATTTCATGCTTTTTTGGGCGGCTAACTGCCAATTAAATTGAACAGGCCAAATCACATGATCTGTTATGATCCTTCCGTCAAATTTTACCAGTCAAAATATCATAAACAAAGCAGTGGATTGAACAAAAGCATATTTAACGTCCGACCTACAGATAGAAAAACTGCTTAATATATAAACTGAACATATGCTTTGGCCAGCTGATGGATCAACACCAAAATGCTCTTTCATTTACCAATACGCCCCAACAACACACGAATAATGGGAATCCAACTTTTCAATGCTTCAGTGCATGGATCTGCTTAGATAACACTAACTCAAACAAGCTTCCAATTTACAACCAGTCAAGCCTAGAAATAACATGGCTTATAGACATGAATAAGTAGTGTGGGCACTTAACATGATCATACATTTGTATTTACAGTTCAACAAAAGTTAAGTTCCCATGTAAGAAACTATATTTTCTCGATTATCAGCCGAGTCAAAGGCAGGAATGAGGATATCCACAGCTCTGATGGTGAAATGATGGCATCACAATGAACACCAGCTGAAAATCGTGGTGATGTCATTAATGACTTCCTTCCCCCTCGCTCCTATTCCAGGCAATCTTTGATTCAATACGGTCAAAGATTAGTTCAAAGGTGAACAACAGTACCTGTAGCACCCTGGTGTATTGAAGTTCCATTTGAGTTTTTCGAACCCACATCTTTGCTCCAGCAACCTTGCTTACACCTGTTCTGTCAAGCAAAGAGAGTTGCCACTATCTGTATACTTGATATGGTAAACAACCAAGCATTTCACTGTAGAAAAACAAGATAATACTATTGAAGAACATCACAAAATGGCTCACTTCTCAACCATAACACAATACATTTAAGTTCTTGAGAGTTCATTTTTAAGTAGAAACACTAGATAATACTATTGAAGACTTCAAAACAAGCAACTTTTCAATCAAACATATTTTTAGTTCATTTTAAAGCAAGTGCAGAAGTCTCTCTCTCCAACTGGGACCTGCCCCTGCAGTTTTTTTTTCCCTTTGGGAGGGAGGGAAGGGTGTTGCCTAGGTAACCTTTCCAAGAGTTTGGTACCTAAATCAAACTAAGTGGCATGGTAAACCATAAATGAGAAAGAAAAGGACACAACCCATAAGTGGCCAGAATCAACAACCTAAGTATGAAGATCACCCACCTTCAATATGCAGATGACACCTTAATTTTTTGTGATGCAGAAGAAGAACAGCAGAAGTATTTAAGAGCGATTCTAATCCTGTTTGAAGCCATTTCAGGTCTTTCACATTAATTGGAGAAAGAATTACATATACCCCATAAATCATGTGCCTAATATGGAGCAACTATCCATGATACTGGGAGGTGAAGTGGGAAGGCTCCCCACTATCTACTTGGGTATGCCCCTGGGAGCAAAGTCAAAATCCAAAGGGATATGGGACTCTGGACTGTTAAAGTGTGAGAAAAAATTTGACCACGTGGAAGTCTCAGTATTTATCTTTGGGGGGAAGTCTCACACTGGTAAATGCAGTTTTAGATACACTACCAATGCTATCACTCTTCCCAATTCCTTCAGGTGTTGTTCAAAGACTAGACAAGATCTGAAGGTCCTTCTTATGGCAAGGAAACAAGGAAAAAAGAGCTTTCCACCTAGTCAAATGGAAGGGGATTATTAGGAGTAAGAAACAAGGTGGGCTTGGCATCAGGAATCTGAAACACCACCCGTCCAAAGCTTTGAAGATCAAATGGCTATGGAGATATGCACAAGAACCTCAAACCCTATAGGGCACTGTCATAAAAAGTAAGTATGGGGAAGAAGATTGTTGGGTATCCAAGGAGGTCACCACTCCATATGGAGTCAGTTTGTGGAGATCCATCAGGGCCTTCTGGTCTTTTCTTAAAAAACACTCAATGATCTGAGTGCACAATGGAGTCAGGACCAGATTCTGGAAAGATAAATGGATAGGGACAAGGTCATTGCAAGAACTGTTCCCGGATCTTTTTGACCTTGCCCAAGATCAACACAATACAGTAGCTGAGATGTGGACTCAACAAGGATGGAACATGAGATTCAGAAGAGGGATGAATGATTGGGAGATCCCAAGAGTGGTTGAACTATTCAAACAACTAGAGAGCTTTCAAGGGATGCAAGAAGGTGTAGATTGTTTGTGGTGGAATGGACACCCTAAAGGACTTTATAAAGTCAGCTCAGGGTATAAGTTGTTGCATCAGATAGAACCAATGAATACTTTTTGGCCTTGGAAACAGATCTGGAAGAACAGGATTTCGTATAAGGTTGCATGTTTTACTTGGCTTCTAACTAAAGAAAGTGTTCTGACTCGTGAGAATTTGATTAGGAGGAAGATATCACTATGCTCAAGATGTTTCTTATGTGAAAAGGCAGTTGAGAAGGTAAATCACTTGTTCCTACACAGTAGTATCACAGATCAACTATGGAAGATTTTCATCAATCTTAGGGGCATAGCATGGGTAATGCCAAGCAAGATTGTTGACACTCTTTAGCTGGGAGGTAGCTGGAACTGGAGCCAGTAACAGAGAGAGATGGAGGATCACCCCTTCATGTATATGGTGGACAATTTGGAAAGAAAGAAATGATAGATGCTTTGAAGATAGGTGCAATTCAGTACAAAAGATTAAGCTAAATTGTATCTTGTTATTTTGTTTTTGGTGTACTAAATTGTACTCTAGGTATACAGAATCAATCCTAGATGTGCTAGACACCATTTAGGTTTGATTTACTTTTGGCATACTCTGTATCTAATCTCACTCCTGTAAATATGGTTTTTCAGTACTAGCTTGAATACAAAATGTTACCTGATTAAAAAAAAAATAGGATACAACCACCGAGGTATAGGAAGACGGAGAATCAATATGTGAAGAAAGTATACAACATACCGATACTGATATTTGTGGGGACTTTTGGATTAAACAAGATAAGAAACACGTAACTTCTCCAACAAGAGCATATTAGAATCATATTTGATATTATTTTTTAAAAAAAGTGATCCTAGTCTAGAAATGCAAGATTTCTTTTTAGCCATCAGAGAATTGCATAACCGTCAAAGGTCAATGAGAAAGCATGAAGTAAACACTAATCAGTTATTAAAACCCATCTGTTTGTTGCTTAAGCAACAGAGAGATACAAAGTGAGGTGTCAACGCCTCATGGCAAAAGCGAATTCACTAAAATTTATGAAGCACACACTAGACAGTGAGGCACAAAGTAATATGAAGAATAAGATACAGAATAAATATCTTTTAACATAACAATACTGATATTTTCGTGACAATTGGATTAAACAGGAAAAGAAACACTCAACTCTCAAACAAGGGCGTTCTTAGAATTATCTTTGATAAAACCCACTAATGATCCTACCGGGAAATGCAAAATTTCTTTTTAGCCATAAGGAAAATGCATAACCGCCAAGAGTCGATGAGAAGGCATGAAATATACAGTACCTTCCCTTTGTTGCTTAAAGCAATGGAGAGATCCGAATAGAGGGGTTATCGCTTCATGGGAGATGCGATGTGCATAACTTTATGAAGCACGCACTACAGACAGTGAGGTGCAAAGTAATCCCTACCAGAAGCACTCGCTTCTTTGAATTCAGTTTAAAGATTAAAAAAATTACAGATTTATTGTTTAAGTACTAGGACTCCGCTCCACATAAACTTCACCATTCTCTTTGATTGAACTCCTCAATTATGCAAAGCCTCTTCTTCTACTACTTGTTTATCTGTTTCTTTTGTTTCTTCTTCGTTCTTATTGTTCTTCAGACAATGTCTCGTCTTCTGTTACTTCTAGTGTAGGGCAGTGTTGTCAAAGGTGTGCTTAAGCCCTGAAGTGAGGCTCACAACGTGTTGAGCGTTTCGCCTCACTTAATGTGCACTTCAATGTCCTCATCAAGGTTCTAAGGCATACTTTTTGTTGCCAATGAGCCTCTTCTGAAGAGGCAAGGCTAAACAATTGATAATTTACTGTATCATCATATTTTTTCAATTTATTTGTTCGTATATTTATAATTATTAATCTTGGACTAAGCATATATATTTGAAATTTTTTCTACCTTTTCGCCTTTTTTTCTTAAAGCACATGCTTTATTTGCGCTTAAAGGCCCAATGGACTTCAGAGTTTTTTTTTTTTTTTTTTTTTGCGCTTAAAGCCCCAATGGACTTCAGAGGTTCTTTTTTTTTTGTGCTCTTTGCTTTTGGTAACACTGGTATATATGGAGCCATCTTCTTATACTTCTATATTTGGGTTTCTCTTTTGTTTTTCCCTTCTACTCTCTTAGTATTAATTAAATGTTTTTTACCTTTGCAATATCCGGTTGGTAAAAAAAAAATAGAAAATATTCTCTAGGGGCATTCCACATTGATTGTGTCTTCCCTACCTTCCACAACACACCTCATCTAGTCATCTTCACCCCTACCCCAGCCCCAACCCCAACCCCCATAGTATTTGTCTAGATTATATACAATTACTTTTAGGATAACATATTTTGCTTATGTATTTTCCTTCATACTGAACACATTCTAAAGCAATTATATATGAAACTGAATACTACAAATATTAAAATTAATTCTTTTATGATCCTTGGTTACAAACTGAAAATTTTCAATCTGCTATTGAAGCGATCTTTCACTGTTCTCGTTGAAATTTTATTCTAACAATGTTTACTTTGAATTATGGTATTAATATAGTCATATTATTATATTTTGGGTGCTTGAAATTACTGATTTTAATTTCAATTTAATTGTTCAATTACTATTGTCGTTATTATACATTGGGTGGTTGAAATCATTAATTTTAATTGCAATTTAATGTTTTAGGCAGTATAGTCACATATATAAACTTACATTATAGTTTAGGTGAACTGTGCAATTCATCTGTGAGCTTGGCCGCTTCTCAGTTAAATCGCCACCGGCATCATTGTTTTTCACACTTTTTGCCTTTAAACTTGGTGGCAGGTATATTTATTCCAGTTAAACCAACGACCAAAATATCTACATAAGTACAACAGAACCCAAACATAACAGGAAAAAGTGTCGGGACCTTCAACTCTGACAGCATATGATAAAAGAAGAATGGGCCACTAAATTCCATTTCCCTAAGCTGCTTTAGACGAAACCTAAAACTGCAACACAGCTCAGGGTACATGCATCACTCCTCACCCCATCTTTAAAAACTACTTCAAACTTCCAAATTTTAGCAGCTCTAGATTCCAAACAACTTGGTGAAGCAATTTGAGCAAGAAGATGAAGACATACCATTGCTTATCATTGAACACATACTGCTTGTTTGTTTGTTCCAACAAAATAAAATGGCATGCTTTACCTAGTAGACTGCACTTACCCCAAAGAGATGGTCCCACCATGAAATTGAAAAGACGCAAATAATCATAATAGTATATCCCTCTGCTAACCTTATATTTCAAGGCATCAGCTATTTCAGATGTGTAGCGGTTGATGCCATACATTCACAATCCATTTACCCAACATGTATGTCTATGGAAGAAAAAAGTTGAAGTAGAATGAAATTAGACACCACATGGACCTTATTGAAACTTACCATTAAATAACAAACTAAGAACCAGAACTTGACTTTTGAACCCACACTTGTTTCTGCATTAATATCATAGTCCATGCAAGCACATTAGTAAATGTACAAGGGAAAATCAGAGATCAAAGTGCAAATAAGAATTTAAAAAGAAAACACACCTCAAGAGAACTGTAAGCAGAAGTGCCTCCCCTTTTCACGGGTTTTCCTTCCCCAATAGAAGTGCCAGCCACATCCCTCAAACCACGACGACCACCATGTTTAGAGTTACCTTAATTTATCAGAAAATTTTGAAGTAACCACAGAAGAGCCAAGAACTAAGAGGCAAGACAAACTTAAGCACAATTTCATGTAGAACTCAGCACAATCATCTCATGGCCCAAAACAAAACTAACCATTATCCGCAGAAGAGTGAGAATTACGCCCACTTCCAATTGGTCTGAACTCACTACCGCGTGCAATTGGTAGATCATTTTTCAATTCTCCTTGACCCCCTAAAGAAGCAGAAAATAAGAGTATGATTGCAGGAGGAAAACACTGAACCAAAGGTAATCTTTCATACAATTAACATGTAGCAGAATACGAGGTAAGACAATGATGCTTACACTCATTTGAAATCATAGAAGACTTGGAAGAGGCAGAAAAATAATAAGCATATGGGCCAATTTGGACGAGCACTTTTTAATTGGATTTGGATATAATTTGGTGTAGTTACACCGTTTGACCTGTTTGTTTGGCCAAGTAATTTACTTGGTCAGAGCATGAAATTGAGTGTAATTGAGGGGAAGTAAATACTCCCTCCAATTGCCCCCAAGGCCTAGCTTGAGTGGCAAAAGGTGGAGGATTTGTGGCTTAGGTCGCAGGTTCAAGCCCCACACCATGCAAAGCGAAGCCCGGTATTTAAGTGGAGAAGGGTAGAGGGGGGGCCCATTATCCACCGAGTTTAGAAGGCTGTAATTGGTCCAAAGGACGGGTCTCAGACGGATTTCTCGGTTATCAAAAAAAAAATACTCTCTCCAATTCTCAAGGGGAAGATGAGCATTTGTCGTAATTACACCATGTACGTACCAAATGACTTCCAAAATTCTTTTATTTTTTATTTTTTCAAAATATTATTCTATTTTCTATTTTCAAAAATATTATTCTATTTTCAAAGGAAGACTCTTTATCTTCCATTTCTTCCTCTCATATTCTATTACAACGTGAAACCACTTGTTTGCTCCATTACAGATGTTAATACTATATATCTCCTTATATTTTCCTTTTCTTCTTTTTATATTTTTTTTCTTGCATATCCAATATCAGTACACTAGTACTAGCAGTACTTTGTAAGTTGATGTCTTGCTGATGTAATGAACTTAATGACTTGCTATATTGTTATTATTTTATGAGTTCATATATACTTTATTTTAAAAAGATGTTTTTAAAATAAATTTTATGGTCCATGGACCATTTTATTAATTATTTGCAAAAGGGTTCCTATATTTTAAATCTATTATTTCTTTCCTTTTTATCTTCATTGAACTAATAATTTTATCAGATTAATTTTGATTGATGATATTGATAGATTGGAGATAATGTGACGCTTTAGCTTTACAATAATGAGTTTTATATAATTTTATTGTAGATAGATTGATAAGTAGCGTTTGTATTTTGTTCAATAGGTAGTTTTAACTCTTATTTTCTATTCATTATAGAAAAGTACTATCTAAACTCATATCTATACTTTTCTTTTAAATTAAAAAAGTACAGCAAATCATACTTTTTTTTATTATTGGAATTTTAAAATTAATTCAAGTTAAATTTCCAGGACTATCCATGTTTGTCCAGTATACCAAACAATCCCTAAGAGGAAGATTTTGAGAATATACATCAAGAGAGATAGTTGTTAGTAATACGAGTGAACAAACCTTCAACAAACTCCCGCACTTGGGAAGATTGAGGAATACCAGATGATAAAGATCCATTACTGGCTTGTGAACTATCAGCACGACGAAGAGGAGCCCAAACACCACGATCAGGCCGATCTCTATTCCTAGAACGTCTTTCTTGTTTCTCAATGTGGACAACATGCTTTTCATTTCCAACAACCTTATCCTCATTAGCTCCACTTGTATCCTTCTGAAACAACTGCATACTTGGTGGCAGAGGAGGTCTCATGTCCTTATCCTGTATTTGATCTGATTGAAATGCTGACTGATTCTGTCGAGCATCCTTTAGAAGAATACTTCTGATGATTCTGCCACTTGTCTCTTGGCGCTGGTTCTGTTTCAGAGCAGATAAACTAGGTGAATTCTTGAGAGCAGATGACACATTCTGTTGAGCTAGTGAACCACCAGAAACCTACACAGTTAAGAGAAACAAGAGTAGGTCCAAGATGCAGACATACAAACTAAAAAAATTAACCTGAGATGACATTGATGTGTTAAGATCATATGATCATAGCAAGTCTGAAAATTGTTGGTAGTAACAAATAGAGCATCGACACAGCAGATGACTTTAATCATTCAAACTAAATGGTATTGGTCTAAAATCTTCTTCACATGCTCTAATATCTCTTGCGTCTCCGTTCGCTTTACCAATAAAATGGTTACCATTCTGCACATGCTATCATATTCCTTGGGACAGTGATAAAAAGAGTGTCAATGCCCTTCAGTGCTTACATCTCTTTACACCCCCACCCCCTCTCTTTCCAAGGCCCCGATTAAAGACAGTCAAGAAGAAAAGGCTCCTCCTTCTGCCACTAAAGATGTAAACTTACATTAGGACCTTCTTTTTCCTTCCCCTTCAAGAGCAGGATTTTCTTCTTCCCACTATCAGCAGTTACTGAACGACCTGAAATAGATTAGAAAGCATTATAGATACTTTAAACAAAATGCTTGTATAAGTAAAAATGACAGGAATGGTAAAAAGGACAGCACATTCTGATTATCTTCGCCATTAAATGGTGAAAGCACAGCGCCTTGTGCAAGTAAAATATCTCTACACAAATCATATATATTATAGTTCAACCAAACTTAGCACTCTAACCTCCAACCAAGAGAATTGGCATCCAAGATACCACACTGGCTTATAAGATAGAAGTAACCTGACAGGCAGGTCCAATTAGTAACTATATCAAGCTATCCTTTCTCTTCTCCACTTAGACTTGGGCCACCCACTTCTGTACATCCATTATATAATTGAATAAAAATATTATTTTGATCAGAACATTGAAGATTATTAACTGATCTCCTTTTTGAATGAAAAATCCAAACAGCAGCTGCCTATGACCCCAGAATTTATATGCAACTCCTTTTCATACAACAGAAAAAATACCCTTCCCCTAATATACTTCCACATTGGCCCTGCAGCATTAGAGATGGCAGCACAAAGATCCCTTTTTGGGTTCAGGAAAGTGGCTAATATCTGTCCATGTTTTAAGACAATAAAACTTCTAGATGCAAAGAAATAGTCAAATGCATTAAGGATTCCGGTTCTACGTCCAAATGATATCTAAGCTTGGAAACAATATCATACTGTGAATAACAATATCCATGAAAGATGCTAGCATGGAGTACTTTGACTTTAGGGATTTGCTTCATCATTAGCCAAAGAAGAGAGACAAGGGGGAAGCTTAGCGCGCCTTTGACAACACAGCACTGGGTATGTTGGTGGTGGTGGTGTAAAGTGGAGAAGCCTGTATTGAGAGCTGGCTATATTTTTGGAGGCTTAATGTGATGATCACAACACCTGTGTGAATATCATATCATCTTGAAGTATTCATGAACACTTTAGCATTGCCACTATGCCAGACATTAATCTGGAATCAGCAAAAAGGAGTACATGGATGGAATATTTCTTTTAGAAGGCTACTGCATGACTGGGAGCTGGAAAGAGTTGTCAAATTTTTCAAGACCTTGGAATCATTCCAAGGGTTCAAAGATACTGAAGATTCACTTATATGAAATCCCAACAGTAAAGGAACTTATTCTGTAAGCTCAGCTTATAACATTCTGATTAGGCTCAGACAGTCAACTAATCAGCGGCCATGGAGATCCATTTGGAAGATGAAGGCTCCTTTTAAGGTGGTATGCTTTCTTGGCTAGTAGCAAGAAATACTTGCCTCATACAGGATAAACTTCAAAGAAAGGGATTCCAACTGTGTTCTAGATGCTTTTTGCGCGGAACTGCTAGGGAAAATAATAGTCACCTATTCATTCATTGTCCTATTACTTGACAATTATGGCTACTATTCTTGAACATGGTAGAAATCAGATGGTCAATGCCAGTAACAAGTGTTGATTTACTGAACTGTTGGAACCAGAATGACGGAGCAGTTAGTCAGAAAAATTGGTGAAAACTTGTCCCTGCTTGCATATGGTGGACCATTTGGAAGGAGAGGAACTATAGAGCTTTTGAAGACAAATACAAATTTGTGGAGAAAATCAATATGAACTGTTTATTTTTGCTTTATTTTTGGTGTAAAGAAAGCTATGCTGAGGCTGAATCACTCGTTGATATGATAAGATCCTTGTGAAGTAGTAGCCTAAGCTTGGTAGGGATTTTGTGAAGTCTTTTTGCAAGGTTAAGGTGCAACTTTAATATATATATATATATATATATTCGTTACCGGTTCCAAAAAAAATGTTATCAAAAATCCAATTGGAACACTCTCTGTTTATCCGGAAAACCAAACTCACAGAATTTAGCTACCCAATCAAAAGCCAAGTCCAACAGACTCAAATAACTTGCAACGTGTCTACTCATTTTGCATATAATATATCCTCACTCAAGGCCAAGATAGCTAGCGAGCACACAGAGAAATGCATTTTGGTTTAGTTTGAGTATCCAACAAACAGATCTCAAACAAATAATATTAAAAAACACAAATCCAGTTTTTGCTAGACTCTCGAAAATACTGTAAGGATTGGTATTTTGTACTACGGTACAACAACAGCACTTAAAAGATCAGGTTTCGTACAAAGTACAACAATTCAATAAAGAGCTAAAATCCAAATTCCAAGCACTAAGATAACCAATCGCCATAGCACAAATATTTGTGATATGGCAGGTTATGTATAATATTTCCCTACTCTCTAGCGATCATTTGGTATTAACATTGTAGATTAGTGACTTGTATAAGGGTGGAGCCTTCCTCTGAACATCAAGGAGGAAAGATTAGGTTGATCCTAACCTTTATTATAATATAAATTACTTCTGGGCAGTACCTCTCAACAAGATTGACAGATGGCACAAAAGAGAGGGTTAACCAGGTACATAAGTAATAGGTCTACCAATGCACAGAATTATTCTCCTGTCCATTTATGTTTTGGTCCATGAACCTTTATACATATTGATGCTAGCTTCTTTCAACATATTTGTTTAACTGAGCAAAAAAGAACATAGAAAAAGAGATATATGATTGTCATAGTTCCTTGGGCTTGCTACTGCATAAAATATAATTCAAGAAAAACAAATGTCTCAGCCTGTCAGCCACAAGTTAGTGCAGCTTATTTTCCTACAAATAAAACTCAGGCAGAAATAAAAACCTTGGAGGCTGTTAGAATATGAATAGGAACAGGAATAGTATATAGAATCTTACTTAGAGTAGGAATGGGAATAGTATATCAAATCCTATTTGAAAAAGGATTATAATGTAGTGTCCTAGTTGGAAAAGAAGCCTGATGTAGTGTCTACGAATATGGTCTCAATGTAATAATGTAGAGACACAACTCAATAATATTCTTCTCCTATATTTCTCATAGAGGTATAGACAGAGAAATGTTCCCTCCTTTTCCACCCCACCCCTGCTTTTACATAGTGCCTCCTAGATCCTCCTCGGGTTTTTGTTAAGTTTCCAACATCCAGATTCTTCACTCGCAAAGCTATGATATTGATCTAACTGATTTTAGCAAATAGAAAATGTACCAGCAGTATAGTTCTTTACCTTTAATCTAAATCTCTATAAAACATGACGAGTCAACTTGTCACTTACACTTGTTATCCCTCCCAAATGCATTAACATACGCAGACATTAAAATCACAAGATCGAAATGTCTTGAGTATTTAGGATTAAACATACTATCATCCCAATTGAACGCCCCTAAAAGATCTTTTAAATTTTGACTGTTACACTTTCCTCAAACTCACACACCCACCCACTCAAAACCCCCATTACACACAAAAAAAAAGAGATGCATATCAACGGCAGTATGTAGCAAACCTGTAAGAAACATAAGACATACCAATTTCCCCTTCCACTACATCAATCCCAGATCCAGGAGCAGAAGTACCAGACTTGACAGAGAGCTGCTGATCACCACGTTTTGGCACTAGAATATAGGATTTGTCCTTACTGTTGCCAGCCTTAGAACTGTCCCGTTGAACATACTGTGAAATAAGGTGTTTTGTAAGTAATACAAGACATGAGATACTAACTACATGAAAATAAATAGAAAAATTCCCAACAAGCAGCAGTTTTATTGTTTAAATCCTACATGAAAAGATAAAAAAACAAACATATGCATCTAGATGTGCGCGTATGTGTGAGTTTTATGACCAAACTAAAAATATTTGGTGTAAAATTTGAAAAGGCAACACGCTTCCCTGCAATTATAGAGAAAATGGAAACTAGTAACGAAAAGCTCAATTATAAGGCAAAGCTGAAAAGGACAAAAGTAAAGTAAGAGTGGTGAAGGCCCGACATCATCTTCATCTACAAGCAGGCATATAGATCAATCCAGGCCAGGAATTACAATGAGAGACAATTAAAAGCAGTTCAAGAGTAGAGAATATTACACTCACAGAAAGCCTTAATATTCTCTGAACTTGAAACGGAAAATTTATAATGTATAAAAAGTTGTATAGAGAGTTGTGGTGTAAAAAGACATGGACTAATCCCAGCAGTTCATGACAACAAAGTTTGGGATGAAAAGCATGTACCATGGTTGTAGAAGTTCTCTTTTCAGAGCCTCGTCTAGATGCAGTTGAGCTAGGACTTCTTGAGCTTGTGCCACCAACACTTTTACTTGATTTTCCATTAGAGATAGACCTCTGTCAAAAACCAAGGCCAATAAACTTGGTGTCATTTATTACACTTAAGGGAAAATGCTCAAAAGAAATATACCATAATTCATTTAACAAGACAAAAGAGACAAGATCTAAAGAGTAGTAGAGAATGCAATGGAATCTTCTACATAGAAACAAAGTAAACAAAGGAAAACCAACAAAGGAACTTCCAGAAGAGAAAGACTGAATATAGTCCGCAAACCAGCTTTTGAAGAACATAACACAATCTTTACCACAAGATGTTATTCGACTATATCTGGTTCTTCCCACTATTTTTTTTCTCCGTATATTATCAATTACCATCTGCAATTGTAAATAATTAACACTCAAAACTTCAATTCCTTATATAAAAGAATTCATTACTGAAAAATCCAGATTAACAGGGACATTTTATTTAGTACTAAGCAAGATTAGAAGCTCATTCCGGTAAAATCTACACAATCAACAAACTTATTTTACCAACAGGTAGCTCAAAGAGGAATATTTACAGATTCTTCTATTCTTTGAGGATAAATTTCAGAACCTGAAACAATAAGATAAAAAGAAAAATAGGAGGTTCCATTATAACAATCCGATTTAGACCAAATTATGAAACTTTTTCTCTGTTGCTCACGTACCCGAGTAACTCACTGAAGGTAACACAAAATTGATGTGCAAGACCTAATACTTTCCCGTTTCTCTTTTTAACACAGCAAATGGCAGAAGCATCCAACATATAAATCACAGACAAATACAAATAGAAAGCTGCACACTACAAAAACATGCAGCAACTAGTTCTTTAATAGTAAAGTTTGAGAATCCCAAGATTCTGAATTTCAAAACAGGAAAGTTTCCCACCCGAGCTCCACTCTTCACAGCTCTTTTCTGACGTACATAATCCATTAATGGAGTAACTATAGGAGCATCCTTTGCTGAGCCTGAAATACAGAAATAAGTAGAACTTCAGTTTCTAGAGAACATGATGCACTCCACCTTCATGTTTTACTCTCCAACTCTCATTTTGATAAATCAGATCTCCATTTGATGCTCAAGGACAGTAGGGAAAATGTTCTAAACATGCTCTGACTAACCAGCTCGTTCAGCTTCCTTTCTCTCCAATTGTATCTCAGCACTCGGAAGATTCTCAACAGGCTTTGCAAGAAATTCAAGGAACTCCATATATGCAGGATCTACAAGTGCATCAACAAAATTAATGTAGCAGCAGGCAAGATGGACATAGCATGTATGTCACATGCAATCAGTTCATCATTTTAATACCTTTCAATATGGTCCCTTCACGGGCATCCTTCTTGAGCCAGTGCTTTGGGACACGCTGGGAAGGAGCATACTCGACAATGGTTTTGAACTGAGTGCCTAGTATAGACATTCCGGGAAGATGAGTATAATAATTTGCCAATCATATTAGATCACTGAGCAAGATAAATCTAGTAGGAACCAGATAAGAAATAAGGCAACATCTAATAGTGTGGTGACAACCAAAGTTTTTCAAGTTTCATCTGGATGGAAGGAATGCCCAATTAATCTGGTGTAACTGCGCTTGAGCTTTACCTTTCTCATTCACAAACATGTGCCCATCAAAGAACTCAGCAAACTCAGTAACATCTTCCATATTCCGAAAGTCAATATAGGCTTTTGAATAGCTTTGATGCTTCAGGCTGCAGAAGAAATTTGGGTATAAATGTTGTCAACAATTGAGGAAGAGTGGAAACCTAACATATTTGCAGATTATGAGTGATAATATTGCAGCCTGTTATTTGCTATTAATGGAAACCCTAACCTGGTCTTGGCTGGGCGAAAAGTGAACCAATTGTATCGACCAGCAAAGCGAGAATCAACATGCTCCAGAAGCATAGACTGAGAAAGTGTCGGCGGCAAGTGTCGTAGAACGACTTTGGTTCGCCGATTCTTCATAGCAAAATATCCAAATCTAATCTAATCTACTCTACTCAAAGATTATCTGAAAATTTTCCGACAAATCACATCTTTTCCCTATAGCAGTGATGGAATTCTAGAGCCCTAATACGAAAATGTTCATGCATAACAAATTCTTTCTCAGAGATAGAAAGAGGCGTGAAATTTACCAGCTTGACTAAAAGAGGATTTTCCCAAGGAATTTTATTTTTTATATTTGTACACTATACATGTAATAACTAGAAAGGAAAATATCATCCTTAAACTATATTCTAAAAATACATTACATCCTTAAAATATCATTTTTTAAGTAAAAGAAAAAAATATTATCTAAATATTTAAAAGTTAACAATTTTTATTCTTTTGTTAGAATTTGTAGAAAACTAATACATACCACAAAAAATAAGTCGCCTCTTCGTATTTATTATTTTTAGATGCATCAAAAATGTTATGTAAACTTTTCAGCAATTTTTAGGCAAAATTATTTAATTTGGTAGTTTTTTTTTTTTTTACATGTAATTTAATATTAAAAACTATCAATTGAAATATGTTTCTTCTCAACTGAATTTGCTAGAGGGGTGTTTGTTGGATACTTTCATTTTTAATAATGGAGAATAAAATTCGAATGCGAGACATAGTCAGAATTTTGATCACATCAATATCATATTGCCTCAAAAATTTATTGATCTAACTACAATTTGACTTTGAAAATGTGGAAATAATTAAGCTCCAACTTCTTTCCATTGGTAAATAAGAAGAACATATCTTGTATCCTTGCACCTTCCTAAAATTTTTAGTTTCGGCAAGCAATGGTATCCAAGATTTTTAATATTCTTTTTCTCAAGAGCTTTTTATAGCATATAATGAAATTATGCCGGAAAACTTTTGTTGATAGTCATGTGAACTGCACATTTTTTTAGGATCCCTTATTTTTTGACAATATCTAACAAAAGGATGGAAATTGTTAATTTTCAAATACATGGAGGATGTTTTCTGCCAAAAAAATATTTTAAGAATGTAGTTTAAGTTTGAAGTATAGTTTAAGAATGTTTTTAGTCAAAAATTCTATACGACTACGTATACACACTCTTCACGTTTTATGCCTAAAATCATCAATATTTGGAACACACAAATGAGCTTGGTATCAAAGCACACATTTTCCCTCTTGGGAGAAAGTCTCAATAGCTTTTTCTGAAACTGAATTCTTCAATTCAATTAAATTCGGATCATTATCTTGATTTTCCTTAACATCCGACACAGGAGACGATTCTGAACCATTTTGCACAATAACACCACCATCCTCTAAATCAACCATACAAACTCCCAAATAGGACAATATATGAACATCACAAACCAACTTTTTCTTATCATCCTCAATGTGAGCAACACTGTGCATGGACAATCTGCTAAAAGCATCGGCTACCACATTTGCCTTACCCAGATTATAAAGAATGCTCATATAATAATACTTAAACAATTTAAGTCACATCATTTGTTGAAGATTCAAATCCTTTTGGTTAAACACATCCACATGAACACCATAGAAATTATTTTTCCATATCTTCAAGGCAAATATCACCGCCGCCAACTCCAAAAGACATAACTAAGAATTCATAGTGACCATACCGAGTACTAAAGTCTGTCTTCGAAATGTCATATTCTCTCATTTTAAGTTGATGATAACCCGACCTGAGGTCAATATTATAGAAGAAACTAGCACCCTGAAGCTGATCGAATAAATTATCAATCCTTTGGATGATATACTTATTCTTGAGTTGTGAATTGTTTCAATTGTCGATAGCCAATACACATTATGAGGGAACCATCTTTCTTACGAATAAAGAGAACTAGAGCACCATATGGAGAAATACTCGGTCTAGTGAAACCCTTATCCAAAAGGTCCTTTAACTGATCTTTCAACTCCTTAAGTTCGGTTAGAGTCATTTTATAAAGAGACATAGAGATAGGCTCGATATCTAGTATTATGATCTACGAGTCCTATCTATGGATCGTAGAAAGTCCTACGGGTCGTAGAAAGGCATTCGTAGAACTTGAGTTGAATTTTGGGGATTTAAAGTTTCTAAAGTTTGACCTACGGGTGAACAAGACAAATCCTAGGATATTTGATGGGTCATAGGACTAATAGGTAGAGTCTATTCTGAGAAATGGTTTGAGACCTCATGTCTACAAAAGAGTTTGACGGGTCGTAGAGCTTTATATGGGTTATAGGAGGTACACGTAGAAGTGATCCAGACTTAGTATAATTTTGGGCTTGAACTTGGGTTCTATGGACCGTAGAATGGTCGACAGACCATAAAATAATTCCATGGAAGTTGAATGGATATTTAGGCCCCCATAAGTAATTCTATGGTTGACAAGTACAATCCGTAGAAAGTCTTATGAACCGTAGGTCACTCCGGCAGATTTTAATTAAGGGTTTTTTGGTATTTTTTACCCAACTAACTCCTAAACTATGTCATTTTGGACCTATAACTACACCTATAACCGTTTTAACCCATCAAAATCAAACCCTATTATCTCATTCACTTAATTCTAAAAAATCTCTTAAGTCTTCTTCCCCAAATTCTCTCTCAACCTCTCAAGGTTGAAGTTAGGACTTCAAGCTTCAAGGTTTTATTATCCATTGCTTTTGGGCTTTGATTATCAAGGTATGTGAGAATTCACCAATGAATTACTTTCATCCATTGGGTCCCAAAAGAATCTCAAATTCCTAAATTGACTTCACCCAATTTCATTAGGGTTTCATGGAAATCTCCATGGATCTTATTGATTATGATTCAATTGTTTATTTACAATCTTATTATGCATGATTTGATGTAATTACATGGTTTTCAATTGACTTCATATGGATCCATATTTTTTACTTGATTATGAATTAGGGAAGATGAATGTAGATGGAATTTGAGGAATTCTGAATTGGGGGAAGAGAGAATTGGGGAAGATGGATGTGGATGAGATTTGGGGATTTGAGTGAATGAGAAAGTTGGGGTAGTTTAGGGGTATAAGGGTAGTTATAGGACATAAAACTAGGGTCAAAACGACATAGTATATGAATCAAATACATTGAAAATACCCAAATACCCTTAAGAAATAACTGTTGGAGGAGCCTACTGTTTGGACCTACGGGCCGTAGAAATACCTACGGACCGTACTGGTCAACCATAGGTCGAGTTGCTGGTACCTAAAATTGGCCAACTTCCTACGACACAATTCTACGAATCGTCAAACTTCCTATGGTCCGTAGACCTCACTTTGAACTAAAAATGTTTACTAAGTCTGGAATACCCCTATGGAACCCATCTATAACTCATCCAAATTTCTACGGCTTGTCCTGTTCATTCGTAGGTCAAACTTCAAAAATTTAAAATTTCAAAAACTCAACACAACTCCTTCCTATGGACCGTTCAATTTCCTACGGTCCGCCAAAAGGACTCATAGTCACTGTCTCAGTGCCAAAAATCAGAATTTTCCCTTTCCTTTCTACTTTCCAATTTTTGAGGTGTTACATCATGTATATCATGCTTAAAGTTCTCATATAATCATGCCTATGTTTTTATTCATCTTCCCATACTTAGTACATCAATGTACTACTACATACTTATGCCTATAATATTTTATAATTTAGGGTCCGACGCTTCTCCTCGTACACGTGCTTAGATCGGGATTGCTTAGTTTGACACTTGGATTGGTGAGTTCCCATTCTTCGAGGACCACACCTTTGATATTTTAGTATTTTAGTTGCCTTTTTTTTCAGACTTCTACGCGGTGTATGGGTTACGTCCCAACCACTCTTATGATGTTAGAAAGGCTATGGAAGGTACCGTTTTGTATTCCGCACTTATGATCAAATTCCTTATATGATATGAGACTTTTATTGCTTATTCTCTCTTGTTGTATTTATTTTACATCATGTTTATGTCAAGTGGCTTGTTTAGGGCCTCTCTTGGTCTTATTCGACATGTCACATCTAAGTGTACTTTGGGTCGTGACATGGAAGAAGGTCGACTCCAAAGTCGATTTACCTTTTGGGAGGAACTCTAGGAAGATCATCAAGAAATACTTCTGAAAACTTATCAACAATAGAAAATGACTCAAGAGTAAGGGTTTCAGAATTCGTATCCCTAACCCAAACTAGATGATAGATGCACCCCTTAGAAATCATCTTTTTGGCCTTAAGGCGTGAGATAAACTGACTTATACGTGCTAAATTACTACTTTTTCACTATATGAATGGTTCATTCGGAAACTGAAACCTAACCATTTGGGTTATACAATCAATAAGTATGAAAACATTTTAATGCAATGACCAAATAAGCATAATATAAATCTGATCATATGATTTCATAAAACATAGTACAAGGTCATGCATTCTTCTTTAAAATCATCATCATATTCAAAACATAAGTCTTTGAGGAAGTCATATTTTTTGGTGGGAGATGTCGTTAACCGACATAAATCATGTGATCTATAGCATGGAGTTCAGCGTATTGCTCCCACACTGAAAAGAAAGTATCCTACTTGTCAAGGTAAGGACCATAATCATAAGCTTATGTGGATCCACTAGCTAATGTCCAAGCGGGACATAACCTATGGGGAAATGTAGTTTTGGGACCTGGATAATTATCACTAGTCCAATTCGATGCTAAGTAAACTCCCAACAGAAAACATGCATAGTAATACTCATATTCATAATCTTTGAAATGGTAAGAATTTGATAATACCAACTCAATCATGAAAATCTCATAAGAATAACTCTTTTAAAATCATGATTTCATAACATATTCATAAGAGTCACTTTAATCGAAAGCATCTAAATCATGATAGTCTTTCATAATAAGAAGTACTTCAATCAGGAGTATATAAATCATATCATCCATTCATAATGGGAGGTACTTCACTGGAAGCTTCATATTTTTATAAAACTGATTGATTCTTTATTCAAAATCATCCTTGATTTATAAAATCTTTCATAGCATAATGCATGCATATCATCATAACATGAATTCATATCATAAAATACTTGCATGACATGGATTCATGAAAATATCATTGAAAACATTTAAATATGATCAAATGTTGCATAACAGTATTTAGATCTTAATGCAACATCTTAATATTTAGATATGCATTAAGATTCAAACGTGTTAATCTTAATGAAAATAAATGTGACCTTAATACCTCCATAATGGATAATAGTAACGGCTTCTCAAATGTGTATTCTAGTGTCTTAAGAGTATATCGATATAAATTAATCTGCTTTGAAGGTACGATAGTTAGTATTGGTATTCCCATGGACTATAAATAGAAAATTTATTGAAGCGCAATGAAACTATTCATCAAGAAAAATAAAAATTACATAACACATACGGAGTTAAAATTCATTATAAATTTGTATGAAATATCATCACCCACCAAAAAATCTTTCATTATCAAATATACACAATTATTTGTTGCCTTTATTTTGTTCAATGCATGACACAAAAACAAACAAAACATATACAGATAAAGCTTAAAAATAGATTAACCAAAAATTTTCAATATAACAAATATGAAGAAATCAAATAATATTTCAAACTTTGAATTCTAAAAGTAAATCCAAGTCGCACCTTCAATTTTTTAAAGAATTCGGCAATAATCAAAAGTTCATACCTCCTAATTTGATTAGAGTTTGCTCCAAGCCTTCTTCTTTTCCATTTATAGTTGATTTGAATAATCATGAATTTGTTTGAATTGAGTTACAATTTACATTTAGGTCAATCTCTTGATATCTAAAAGTGGAAGACTTTTATGTTCACTTGGACACAATCATGATTTCGAATGATTCATAGTATGAGGGTGACAACAATTTATATTTTGACTTGGACTCTGGATAATGAAATACTTTTATATTAAAAAAATGAAGAAGTTGGTAAGTTTTTCATAATTTCTTTTAATGACTTTAGGTGAAATATTAAACATTAAAAAAAAAAACATAAAGTCCCCATTAAACTAGAACCTATTTTTTAAGAAGATACCTTAACTTTGCGGGAGGGTCTAAATAATTTTATATTGGTATTAATATACCATTTATGGCCATCTGGAAGCGAAAGTGTAGCTCACTCTCTCAAGGAGAATGGGAAAGATGAACTAAGATATTTTTTATTTTCTTCTCTTTTTATTATACTCTCATTTTTATATTCCTTTCCTATTTTTCAAATTTTATTTTCTTTTCAATTTTTTGTTTCTTCGGTCTTCTTCGACGACATTGATAGTTATTTTCATTGTCTTCTTTGACTTTTTTAAATAGGAATGATAAGAAGGTAATACAAATAATAAGAAAACACAAAGAGGGAGATGGTTACTCTTGACCACCATTCTTTCAGGTGAAAATGTGTTTTTCAACGATAAAGATATGCTTGTGGACTGCATTGGTAATAGAATTCATCGTTGGTGTTTAATTTTTTAATAAAGATGATGAAAAGATAATAAAAGTCAGAGAACAAATGGTGAGGACTGCTAGTCACCATTTTATCCGGTGAAAAAATATTTTTCCGACGATAAAAAATGTCATATTTCCTCCACTTCTATGGTCCCACCCAGAACAGTATTAATTGATGTGAGTTTGAAATAATCATTAGATTTCATAACAATATCCATCTTGCTTAAGCATCTATCACTTTTCCTTTTATTTTTCTTTTTGTGTTGGAGAGGATTAGAGAAAGGGAAGAAGCAGGTGGGGAGGGGAGGGAAGGATTTTGGATTTATTTTTTTCTTTTATAAAAAGTTAGTCTTTTTCTCTTTTTATTTTTTAAATTTATGGTATTTTAACACGTGGAAATCAAGGATTAGTGTGTGACATCACTTCCTTTCTTAAAAGTGGGGCAGATAAAAAATGAGGCAATAATATTATTTTAAAATTATTCAGGGGGGTCATAGGATCTCGCAAAGTTTATGTGTCGTTTAGAAAAAAATAGGTACTAATTTAATGGGGACTAGAGAAAATACATAATTATCTCATTAAACTAGGATACTTTTTTAAAAAAGACACTTAAACTTTATAAGGTTCCTGGTACCCCACTGAACAATTTAAAGTAATATATATAAATATCTCATTTTTAGTCAATTATAAGAAAGAAGGTGCAAGCACGCACCAATTATTGCTTGCCATGTGTCAATATTTACCTAATTTCCTAATCTTTGTTTTTGTTTATATTTTTTCCTTATTTCCTCAGTTTTAATTATTTATTTTCCTTTTCTTCATCAATTTTGCGTTGTATTTGTAAAACCAAAATTCTCTCTTCAAGCTTAGATGAGATAATTTTTACTTGGTCTGAACATAATTTCAGTTCCGTAATTGATTAGAGATCACTTGAAATCATTCTTTTCTTCGACGTCGTCATCTTCTTTCATCCGGTGAAAAATATTTTTTCGACGACAAAAAATGACATTTTTCCTCCTATGGTCCCACCCAGAACAGTATTAATTGATGTGAGCTTGAAATAATCGCAAATTAGATTTCATAACAATGGCACTCATCTTGCTTAATCGTCTGTTACTCTTCTTTTTCTTTTTCTTTTTGTGTTGGAGAGGATTAGGAAAAGGGAAGAAGCAGGTGGGTGGGACGGGGAGGATTTTGGATTTTTTTTTATTTTTATAAAAGGTTAGCCTTTTTCTTTTTTTATTTTTTAAATTTATGGCATTTTAACATGTGGCAATCAAGAATTGGTGTGTGACATCACTTTCTTTCTTAAAAGTGGGGTAAATAAAAAAACGAGGCAATAGTATTATTTTAAAAGCATTCATGGGGTCATAGAACCCGACAAAGTTTATGTGTCTTTTAAAAAAAAAGGTACTAATTTAATGGGGACTAGAGAAAATACATAATTATCTCATTCGACTATGACACTTTATTTAAAAAGACACTAAAACATTATAAGGTTCCTAGTACCCCACTGAACAATTTAAAGTGATAAAAATATCTCATTTTACAGTCAATTATAAGAAAGAAGGTGCAAACACGCACCTATTACTGCTTGCCACGTGTCAATTTTACCTAATTTCCTAATCTTTATTTTTGTTTATATTTTTTTCCTTATTTTCTTAGTTTTAATTCTTTATTTTCCTTGTCTTCATCAATTCTAGGTTGTATTTGGAAAAAACAGAAATTCTCTCTTCAGGATTAGATGGGATAATTTTTACTTGGTCTTAACATAATTTCAATTCCGTAATTGATTAGAGGTCACTTGAAATCGTTCTTTCTTCGACGTCTCCATCATCTTTCTCTTCAACGTTGCCATCATCTTTTTGGTGCTTCTCACCCACACCGATCAAGAAGGAGGAGAAGAAATCTGAGGATGAAACAACAAATTTGTCATCTCTATTGCAAAGGAAATTAACTAATTGTCAATGAAATTTTTACCAGTGACAAAACAAAAAAGGTGTTTTCTTTGATGAATTGAGATTGTGTTATTCAGTGACAACTGAATGTCTCCGTCGAAATTCAATCCAAATGCAAAACAAAAAGAGAGAAATAAAGAAAAAAAAAACTTGAAGCCATTGCCATATCCTTCGGTGGTGAAGCTTAGGAAGGAGAAGAAGAAAAACTTAACTGTAAAATAAAAGATTATCCATATATTATTTAATAAAGAATATTGCAAAAAAAAAGTTTAATCTTATATTTTTTTCATTTTCACGCTCTTAAGGTGAGTGATATACTCTGTATTAAATGCTGAAAAAGGGTTCAATAATTTCACATTAAACTAGATTAGGGGTGTATTAGGACCACAAAATTTGAGTATCTTTTTTTTTTTAAAAAAAAGGACCTTACTTTAATGGAGTAATTATGTACTTTTCTCTTTATACAAATCCTTTCTTTATTAAACTACTTAATTATGTATCGCAATAATGTAACTCATACGAACTTACTGAAAGTATGAATTTTTAGTATCCATAATATTTGGATACCCAGCATTCTACACCTATATGAAAGGAAAACATTAATTCTACACCTAAACAAATTCTAATCCTTATATCAGGAATACTAATCCTTAAAATATGGAAGGAATATTAAATTACATTAACCAAATAAAATTAAATAATAATTTGAGGAAAATGGTGAAAAGATTATTGTCTAAAGCAAAGTCTTTTAATGAATGGCAAAAAGTTCAAACAAGATTTCTGTGGACCTTTATGCTTTTAATATAGGATAGATAGATAGATAGATATAAGATTAACAAATTTGAGCATGAGTACAACAGATGATAATTAATTGATGAAATCATCAGTGTCATGCTTGCACACTGGTCGCTGATTAGACAGCTAACATAAAGAACAACTGCCCAACGTCAACAAAACCTGAGAAAAGGTTTCTTTTGTGTTCTCTGTCTCTTCCCTTCTTTTGTATCTTTGCCTGTAAGATGAGGAGGTCATAAATCTTTATTCAAGAAACTTTAACAGTGGGTGGAGTCTAATAAATTAGAGACTTCCATCAAATCTTACGTTTATTCTTGGCAAAAGGTAAAATTTATCTCCTTGAGATATATGAATTATGTGATACGATGGTGTGTGAAAAAAATCAAAGTTGCTTGTTGTGACAAGGAGCAAAACAAAACTACATCTCCGGGAATAAGGACCAGAATGAATGAGATGGCGAACTCAGCCTACTGCTGGACAATTCGTCTCCAAGAGCAACTTAAATATTCTATACTATAGTTGTCAAAATGCCAAATCATATATTTGCTTGTACTCATCCACAAAGTGTACATCAAGGCCTTCCTTGACATTAGGAGCAAGCTCGTCAAAATCTCTTCGATTAGCTGAAGGGAATATTATAGTTTTCACATCACTTCGCCGTGCTGCTATGGTTTTCTCCTTGACCTAATATTGAACCAAAAAGGTAAAGTTTTTGTAAATCCAGCGCACTTCATAAGATGTACCCAACTCTCATGAATCCTCTTAATGATGGTCAAAATGAAAAGACCACTCTTGTGTAAACATATAGACACGGGAAAATAATCAAAGCAAAAAGACCATAAAAGACAAAAATCAATGAAAAATAGAAAGAGTAAGAATCGTTAACATACCCCGCCGATGGGAAGAATTTTTCCAGTTAGCGTGACTTCCCCGGTCATTGCCAGGTAAGGTTTAACAGGCTTTTTCATGGCAAGAGACAACAAGGATGTTATCATAGTACAACCAGCACTAGGGCCATCCTTAGGGGTAGAACCCGCAGGAACATGAAGATGAAGCTTACTATTTGCAAAGAAGTGGTTATCAGGCTCCTTCTTCTGCAAAATGATCCTGGAAACCGTATGGGCAATTTGGGCACTTTCTTTCATAACGTCGCCTAGTTGTCCTGTTACATTGAGAGCCCCTTTTCCTTCTCCTTGCTCCACCAAAGACGTTTCTATATAGAGTGTTGAGCCACCCATTGAAGTCCAAGCAAGACCCATCACAACTCCAACTGGGGTCTGATCATATATGCGCTCAGCATGGAAAATAGGTTTGCCAACATAATCAGCTAGGTTTGGTGAGTCCACAACCACTTTTTCTATTGTTTTACTTGCTTCACTTTCTGTAACTTCCTCAACTTCCTGAGTTTCCAGTTAAGATCACAACCACCGTAACCAAAAGTCAGTTGCACAAATACAATGATCATTAAATAATTGAAAGCATAGATTATGTAAACCCCAAGTATAAATCATGCAACATAAGAAAAAAAAAAGACGTTATTCACTAGCAGCTTAATTTGCAGAATTCTAGAAAATTTTCTCAGTACAGACAAATATGAGGGGAAATGTAACATCAAACACAACAAAGTATGTGTGTGCGCGGCCTATTTTATATTGAAACAAACAACTTTAAGCAAAGATATCCAAACATTTTGGCCCAACTTACTAAAATGAATGTAACTATCAAATATAATTAGTCAGATTGAAGTAACCTCTCCATCCCCAAAGAATTTGCTTTTAAACCACTAATCTGATTACAGTGTATGATATTAAGAGGGTGTTTGGACTGGCTTTTTTTAAGTAGCTTATAAGCCATAAGTTGGTCATACGAAACTTTTGCCTTATAACTTTTTTTTGTACTTTTTTTACCTAAAAGTAGGTGCTTAAAACACTTTTTGTCTTTCCCAAACACCTCCAAAAACAAAAAGGAGCTTAAAAGCCAAAAACTACTTGAAATAAGCCAATCCAAACACCCCCTAAATGCAAATCATGCATAGATACCTTTTTAAGATACAAGTCAGAAGTAGTCGTACAAATGAATACCACATGCTTTCCTTGCTGGTTTGGTCTTATATAATTGTCAGACAAGTGACCTCTTACATTGCATCTATTAACCAACATTTAATCAAACATGGCACAATAAGACAAGGTATAAAAGACACGTCTTCTGTGCATACAAAACTAACCTATTTATACCTTAAGCATAGATGAAAGCAGTCAAATATATTGTAGCATGCATAATTGCAACTGGCAAGAATCACCTGTAGTAGAACAATTAGAGCATTAAATAATGCCTTTTAATATTTTCCATTTACCTGTAAATGAGTATCTTCATCAATAGGCTTCTGCATTTGGTTTACTGGTGCTTCCAGAGATTCAGCAACATTTTCAGAGGGCTTGTCATCATTGGTACCCTCTACAGACTTAGCTCCAGCCTGAGTTTCTTCCTTAGACTTGATTTCGTCTGATATATGGACAGATTCTGCTTTTACCTCATTTACCCCTGCATTCTGGGGCTCAATCTTGCCATCCTTCCTAACAAGCTTTAGAGCTATCTGGAAAAACAAGAATAGAATGTGAGGACTGAGAAGTATCAGAGCATGAAAATGATTTCCAAGTGTTTGTGTTGCATTACATTAAATAATCATCCACTTTTCTGCAAAAGTTCACTATGCATCAAATTCAGACAATGCAACTAAGATGTTTTAAACAAAAGAGTACAGATAACAGAACCTTGCGATAAATCTTTTCAATTTGCTTCTGCAGATTGCGAACACCGGCTTCTCTACAGTAATTTTCTATTAAAGCGAGAAGAGCTGCATCAGTCACTTCAACCTGAAATAAGGAATTCATGAAGCCAATATCATTAGCTTGTTTGCAAGCAATACTTCAGTGTAACTTGTTTACATGAAAACCAGTATCAAGGCATCCACCGGAACTCCGGAAGTACTAAAATCACATCCACTAACTGTCACAATAATTATACATGTTGAAAGATTTAAACCAAACATCAACAATTCATCCCTTCAAATTTTGCAATCAATTACTAACATAATGTTTGCACACTTAATTCCCCAACTTGAGTTCAAATTCTCTACATCTGAGAGACTGCCAGTTACCACGTGAAAATCCTGAGAGAGAGAGAGAGAGGTGACATATACACGAACTCAAACTCTGAATCTTTTCCACTTGATACCATATCAACTCGAACAATTTACAGGAGTATCCGGAAGTTAGCATTTCCAGCAAAATGGTACCCGAAGTGATTACCTATCCTGCTGTGTTTTCCATTAGATAAGCATAAAGCTATTACTACTACAACAACCAACCCAGTGAAATTCACAGGTGGGGTCTGGGGAAGCACAAAGCTACTACTGTGTCATGAAAAAAGTACCAGCAGCCTATAATGCTGCTTTAAAATCTGAACTCATTTTATCCGCTCTAGAAGGCCACGACTAACAAAGGTATCCATAAGCCCTCCCAGATATCAATTGATTAACTTCTGACGCCCATATTTAAGGTGAAAAATATGTTCTGTTTTTTTTTCCACCAAAGATTCATATGGCATTTACCTCAACTAAAACAGAATTTGAAAAAGCTAAATATAAGGTTCCCCAAATTACATTAATCTCATCTTTAAGACGATGGGAGAAAATACCTACTGCAGTCATCGTATAATAGAGATTGCACTACCATGAGGGCACCAATTCAATTGCTTTTTTCCCTGGGATAACAATGGTGTCTACGCCAACTTGCACGCACCTCAACTATTCGAATTGATACTTGCATCCCTTCAATTACCTTATTAATTATTTAAAATCCACCCAGAAACCAGTCAAGCACAATAAAATAATTTTACGTCCACAGTCAAAGTAGTCAAAAGCAAAAACCAGAGTAAAAGCTAGCTGGGGCTCTAAGGCCTATGCCTTAACGAAGAGAAGTAATAATGAAAACAATAACACACAAATCTTAAGTCTTAGGTCCTTAAAAATGCTCCCATGCACGTTTTCCAAGAATAACTTTTCCAAGGTTATTCTAACCAAGTAGCATCTTTTCCAAGAATGCTAGCCGGCAACATGGCAGGAACTTAACTTGGTTTTTGTGATAATTGTTAACAACTTCTAATTTAGATGGACGACGACATCATATATTTTGCAGTAGGGTTCAAATCATATGATATTTCCAGAAGAGGAGCTGAGCCATCCGAATGGACAGCGAGAAATTTTTGTCAGGAGAACATCCTTCAGCAAGAAGATGATGAGATGGCTTTGTGAGTCCATGAAGGAGGCCTCAAAGGTCAAAGGTAACTATGTTAAAATGTGGTAGCTGGGAGCCAGTCAATTACTATTTCAAATTTGAGAATTGGTGGCTACAAACGGAGGACTTCAAAGAAAGGGTGAAGGAATGGTGGGATTATTTTTCCCGTGAAGGTAGACCTGACTACATTTTAGCTTTCAAATTAAAGGCAATAAAATATAAACTCAAGGAATAGTGCAAGACTACCCAAGGAAACTTGGGTTTGCAAAAGGCAAGTATTCTAAATCAGTTAGCTGAATTGGAGGAGATCCATAATGATCACAGCTACATAAATGAGGAAGAACAAGCCACAAAAGCATCTCTGGCTATGAAGTTTGAGGATATTGCAAGGAATGAAGAAGTGGCTTGGAGACAAGGGGTCAAGAGCCCTATGGTTGAATCAAGGGGATAGAATACAAAATATATCCACAGGTTGCAAATGCTCATAGAAGATTTAACAACATTGCTAAGTTGATAATAAGGAGAGGAGGTGATCAATCCAGCAAATACCAACAAGAAAATTGTTACCTTTTATCAGCAGATATATTCTGACTTTGAAATGTGGAGACCTCAAGGTCTAATAGGAAACTGCCCTAAGGTCAATAATGAGGATAATGTGATGCTTAAAGATCCCTTTGAAACCCAGGAGATATGGGATAGAATGAAAGCATGTGCTGGAGACAAAGTTCCTGGGCCTAATGGTTTCTCCATGGCATTTTCAACCAGTGCTGGTACGTGATAAGTAAAGAGGTGGTAGCTGCAGTGCAGGATTTTTATGATTAAGGTAATTTTGAAAAAAGCATTAATGCTACTTTAGTATCCTCGATTCTAAAAAAAATGGGAGCTTGGGAGTTGAAAGACTTCAGGCCCATCAGTTTGATACAGTATCTATGAGTTAATTCTAAGATTCTGTCTGAGAGATTGAAGAAAATAATACTCAAATTAGTGGACAACCAACAGGACGCTTTCATTGAATGAATATAGATCATGGATGCTGTCTTAATTGCTAATGAAGTAGTGGATACTAGAATCAGAAATAAAGAGCCTGGCGTTCTGTGCAAATTGGACATAGAGAAGAAAAGAACAGAGAAAAAAGTAAAATCATGGGTTCTAGAGAGAGAGAGACTCCTACTTCTCTCTAGAAGCTAGGAAGTTGGACAAGCAGCCTTTCAAGGAGGGTTGTTTCACTGGCACCGACATTGGATGGTGGCTGTAGAAGGCTAAAGGGACAGTTAGAACCTCGGTTCAGATTGTCTCTAGGACACAGCGGAGAGGAAAGAGTTCCTCCCGACTTGTTTGGTGAGGAAGTTCTAGAAAAGGGTAACTTCACCGGACCTAGTTTCTACTTGGGCTGCTAAAACTTTGAATGTAAATCCATGTATCAAAGTCTCTTCTATGGGAGATATTCAACCTTCCTTTTCAGATTTCCTTGCGTGTTGGAGGCTGATCGAGGTTTCAGAGAGGGAGAGAGATGGATGGAGGATAATCTGCTTAGACTCCACAGATGGTCAGAGACAATAGCGATGGAGTCCCAAAGAAGAAGAGAAGGCTCGGGGTGGTGAATATAGTGGGGTTGCCGTTACACCTCTGGTGTATTGATTTGTTTAGGAGCATTGGGGATTCGTGAGGGTGGGTTTTGGGGGCAGACTGTAGTTTGACTGATGTCTCAAGGGTAATGATTTTGGTGAGGAAAGGGGGAAGAGTTCCGGTGACTATGGTGGTGGAGAAAGTTTCAGGGTCTGGTTAACACAAGAGTTAAGCCTGGGGAGAAGGTGATAGAGAAAAAGAGGGTTGGAATACTCTGTATACGGGTGATTTTAGGCGTCATCCATCGGAAAATATGGAGTCTGTATCAGAAAAAGGTGGAGATACTTCAGAAAAGACAGGCAGTTTGAATTTGAAAAAGTTAGGGTTAAGGAAAAAAAGGCCGACGATGTGGAGCAGAACGAGTGTGCAGCTGCTGCCCCCTCGAAAAATGCCTCCAGCAAGCTCACTTCAGGTGCAAAACTGTCTGAGGAAGCAAGAAACTTATGAAGTAAGGAGAAAGTGGAAAAGGTGATCGGAGTTGGGAGTCCAAAGATTGCTAGTTTTACTTCAATAGCAATGTGAGCCAATTGCCAATCTTGATGCTATGAGTTCGGAGTTGGAAAATAACAAGTTGTTCACCATAAATGAAAAGCTTCTGGTTAGGGAAGAGATTAGTTTTCCACATATCTTGGTCTGGATTCCTAAGGTGCCGAGGAAGGTGTGCTTCTTCGCATGGTTAGCTTCTAGAGGGGCGATTTTGATGACAGAGAATCTTAGGAAACGAAAGGTCATCTGCTTGAGTTGGTGTTTCCTTTGTAAGGAGGCAAGTGAGGACGTGTACCATATTTTAGTACATTGCAAATAAGCTTTGCGGTTATGAGAGGAAAGCTTTAGATGGTTTGGAGTTTCCTGGGTTATGCCAGGATCCGTATGATCATATAAATTGGAATTATTTACTCCCTCTGTTTCAAAAAGAGTGGTCTAGTTTGACTTGACACAGAGTTTAAGAAAATAAAGAAGACTTTTGAATATTGTGGTCCTAAATTAAAGTTATGTCAAATGTACAAAATTGCCCTTTAATCTTGTGGCCTTAAACATGCTACGTGGAAAGCTGAAATTAAAATGTTTCCAGAAAAGGAAAGGTCATTCTTTTTTAAAGAGAGGGAGTACTAGAAATTATGAGGCACGTGGGTTTTGGACTTTTGGTGGTTGATGGATAAATTGGATAAGATATTGCATTAGCACAGTCAGGTTTTTAATTCTTGTTAATGGTTATCCAGCTGAGGGTTTTCCTTCCTAGAGGGGTATAAGACAGGGTGATCAATTGTCTCCACTCTTATTCATACTAGCCATGGAAGGAATTCATGATGTGCTAAAGAAGGCTCAGGAAATAAATTGGATTAGGGGGTTCAAGGTGAGTACGAAGAGTCAAATTTACAATATGCAGATGATCAATTAAGAATGATAAGAATTATTTTTGTTCACTCTGAAGCAACATATGGTTTAGACATAAACTGGACGAAAAGCTCTATAAATCCAGTAAACAGGGTAGACCAGATCCAATCTCTGGCAGCAATTCTTGGTTGAAGAATAAGGACTCTTCCAACTGTGTATTTAGGAATTCCCTTGGGAGCCAAAAGTAAGTCAAAAGAAATATGGAATGAGATTTTAGAGAAATGTGAAAAAATGTTAGCCAGCTGGAAAAGTCTACATCTTTCCTTAGGTGGAAAATCAATTTGAATCAGTTGTCTTTGATGCTATGCCTACCAATTTGATGTCAATGTTTCCCTTTCCAATAAATGTGATCAAGAAATCAAATCCTCTCAAAAGAAATTCCCTTTGGGAAGGAAACAGTGATAAGAAGAAGAATACATCTGGTGAAATGGGACCATCTCCTGGACAGCAAGGGAAAGGGGGTGTGGGCATCAAACTTGAAGGTTCAAAATCCAAGATACTGATGAAGTGGTTAGGGAGATTTGCAACTGATGAACAATCATTGTGGAAGGAGGTGATCCTAGAAAAATATGACAAGATATAGCAGATGGACAATTAAAAATGTGAATGGTCCATCTGGTACTAGTCTGTCAATGACAATTAGAAATTTATGGCCCATGTTCAAGGAGAAGACAATAATCAAAATAGGTAATGAATGGCATGAAGACTATTTTCCGGAAGGATACTTGGTTGAATCAAGACCCTTTGAAATAGGTGTTTCCAGATATGTACCCTTTATTACAGCAGGAGGCAATAGTAGGTGCTTCATGGAGCAATCAAGGATGGAACCTCACTTTTAGAAGGCCATTAAATGAAGTTGATTGAATTGTTTAAGACTCTTGAACAGTTCAAAAACTTTCTTAAGAGGATAGCTTAAGGTGAAGTGCGGAGAAGCAAGGGAATTCACTGTGAACACAGTATATAAGGAGTTCAACACTTCCAACAATTAAATTGAATGCTGGCCACGGAAGATGATTTGGAAGGTGAAAATACCTTACAAGGTAGCATCACCTCTTACTTCATAAAAAAAAAATACCTTACAAGGTAGCATGCTTCATCTGGCTACTAGCTAGAGAAGCAGTTCTCGCTCAGGATAATCTCTGCAGGAGAGGTTATCAGTTGTGCTCTATATGCTACCTATGTGGAAGTGAGCCAGAGACAATCAGTCATCTTTTTTTACATTGCAAACTAACTACACAACTGTGGAGGATGTTTATCAGCCTAGGTTACTGGTTGGAGTATGCCTAGGATCATAGTGGATCTTCTAGCACGCTGGAATAGAGAAGGTGTCATCTGAATCCAAAAGGACAGATGAAAGGTTGTCCCAACTTGCATATGGTGGACAATAGATGTTTTGAAGGTAAACCTTGTCATATCCAGAAGATAAAAATGAAGTGCCGGGTCCTGTTATATTTTTGGTGCAATGAGTCTGCTTAGAAAGTCATGAATCTATTTTTGATGTTCTAGACTCCCTGTAGATGATAGTGGAGCTTGTCTTTATTAAGCTCTGTAATTATGCTTAATTATACTGCCTTTGTATATTCTTTATCATTATATATAAAATAAAACAAAAAAAGAATAAAAAAATATATATATACATATATATAATACAACCAAAAATAACTATAAACACAAACAATTATTTGGACAGAGAATAAAAATTACAACAATTTAGCAAAATATATGAAGATTAAACTAGAGCAATCAAGTTTAGAAATCATTTTACATTTCTGATTCATATGAAAAGACGTAGTTCCATGTTATCTGGAGCTAGTTTTCTTATACCAAACTTTTAATCACTTGTTCATACTCATAAAAATTCATCTGCAACATTTTTTTAACAATTAACATATCGGGTTACCAACTATATTTGATGCTTGATACTGTTTTCTTAAAGAAAGAGCATGTGGAGGAGTGAACACACGTCTTAGCACCAACAGACCTATGTCTGCTCAGAGATTTCAAAAATTGGAACCGAAAAATATGCACAAAACTCAACTGATAAATGAGTCTGAAATAAATGAGATGCAACTAGGGACATTTCTTTGATACATACCTGTTCAGGCTTGATCCCACATGTTTCACGGGTACTTTTTTCCAAATAATCCCGGGCTATGTGCAGTTTCTCATCAGTAATGTAACCAGCAATTGCAATTACCTCCATTCTATCCAAAAGAGGATTAGGTATCATTTCCAAGACATTGGCTGTGCAGACAAACAAAACCTGCAGTTACAAAAAAGGAAAAATCATTATCAACAACAGTACATGTAGGTTGTTTTTCCTGTTTAAAGTACAATTGAGTAGGTAACTGTATTAAACAAGGCTAGAAGGAACCTGAAGGCACCAAAGATGATAGCTCCAATTTGTCTTCCATTTTTGGCATGAAAAGGGATTTTATAATCATAATTATCCTTTGGACAAGTACACTAAACCTTGAGGTTGAATTTTATAAGTTCATTCAGGTTCATATATATCTCAACATCTATAATTCAAGGTTTTGATCTTGCCTCCCTCCCCATAACCAAGTCAGATCCACAACAACATACAAAGTGAGATCCCACTAAGTGCGGTCTGGTGAAGGTAGAGTGTATGCAGACCTTACCACTACCTAATGGAGGTAAAGAGGTTGTTTCCAAGAGATCATTGGCTCAAGTGCATCAAACCCAAGTAAAAAAAGAAGAAAACAATGAGGAAAGCATAGCAATTAATGAGAAAAGCAGTGTAAAGTCTACAAGAAAGAACAATAACAACAGCAAAATAGTGTGGTAATTGAAACACAACAAACAACATATGTCCATAACTACATGGGTACGACTAGTACTACAACAGGCACTAACAAGCCTAAATTTTCCGAGGCAAGACAACACTATACTAACCTTCTACCTTAATACGTGACCTCCACTCCTTCCTATCTAGAGTCATGTCATCGGTAATATGAAGTTGAGTCATGTCGTGTCTTGTCACCTTCCCCAATACTACCAAAATAATAGAAAGATGCTTTTCTTTTAACTATGACATTTGGAAATATTATACAAATATTTACCATCGTGAAAAGACATAGTAAATTATCCGAGTCAATGATAAATCCAAATGATATGGTACGCAAAGGGTGTGTACACAACCTTATGTTTTCAATAACCCTCCGCACAAGTAAAGCATATCAAAATCAGGAAGAAAAGAAAATACAGTAGTAAGAAGGTCATGTAGAAATAATGGAGAAAAGAACAATAGCAACAACAAACAATACGACAACTAACGAAAAGGAAGTACCAGGTAATAAAAAAATTGAATAATAAAATATTATGAGGGTAATAATAATAATACTGATAAGGAAAACTAGACAACGCTCGACTACCTATTAACCTTTTACCCTAGTCCTCAGACCCACCATAGTCAATCTCTCAAACCTCATCATTGGGGCATCTCTACACCTTCTTTTCACATACCCGAACTATCTCAGGTTTGTCTTCCTCATCTTGTCCACCACGAAGGGCACTCCCAACTTGTCCAAAATATCTTCACTTCTGTTGAAAATATAATTAACTAATAAAGTTGTGCTCTCCCTAACAGTGTGCTCTCCCACACTCTCCCTAACAGCTTAAGCTTTTAGATGAGATGGTCACACACTTCAACATGGTATCAGAGCCGACAAAGGTCCTGAGATTGAATCTCACCGCCACCCAAATCAGAAAAGAATTTCCACGTGCTTGGCCCTGAAAAAGAATCAAGCTTACACGTGAGGGGGCGTGTTAAGAATATAATCAAATAACGAAAGTGTGCTCTCTCTAACAACTTAAAGCTTTTAGATGAGATGGTCACACACTTCAACAACTCCTAATCCTACCTCTCCATGTGCGCCCAAACATCCATCTCAACATCCTCATTTCTACTACTTTCATCTTCAAGACATGTGAGTTCTTGATTGGTCAACACTAGGTAGACTTTTATTAGTTTAATCAATAAATGTTATGGGCCGATATTTTCTTTGCGTAAGCGACACATAAATAACTTGTGTGGAGCCCATAGTCCCTCCTGCTACCGACCAACCTATCCCAATTCCAAGGTTTCTCGCCATAATCTGATGCCTATGGTGAAGCTTACCTCAGAGGCTCACCTCAACTGTGCCGGCCATTTGGTGTCGAATGCCTCAATCCTTGACATGCTATCAACTTTTGTGGCACATCTTTATATGTTGGATCTTGTCCATGCACGCTCTCAGGTTGGCTATGCACATACTAGTCCCTCGGGCTAGACTTAAGTAATGCTCTCACATGCACAGTCCTATCCCCAAGCTTGACACTTTCCTTGTGCATACACACATAGCTTACACTTAGCCCGAGTAGAGCAACATCCAATCCTTGGCATTGGTTATGTGCGTCTTCCATATCATACCTTCGATTGTCTCATGGCATTGCCAAGCAAAGCCCACGCAACATACATTCATCTCACATGCTGCAACATCACCCCCACAACTGTATATCTAGGCCAACGAACCCTTAGCTGCCCTGAACCCAAGCCAAGCTCACAAGTCAGGTCATAAGGCTCTAGAGAGTCTGGAAAGTCAAGGTACCCTTCAAGGTGCATGTTTCACTTGGCTACTAGCCAAACAGGCCACACTTACCTAGGACAACCTTATGAAAAGAGGTCGTCAGTTTTGCTCTAGGTGCTCTTTTTGTGAATGTGAGATTGAGACAATAAATCATCTCTTTCTACATTGTAGAGAGACTGTGAAGTTATGGCAGATTTTCATCAATTTAAGAGGCATAAGTTGGACTATGCCAAGGAGCATCAAAGAGGCTCTAGCTTGCTGGAATAGAGATGGGAATCAGCCGGGACACAGGGAGAGATGGAAGATTGTCCCAGCCAGCATTTGGTGGACTATATGGATGGAAAGGAACCAGAGATGTTTCGAAAACAAGAGTTGCTCTCTGCAGAAACTGAAGATGAACTGTCTAGTCCTTTTCTTTTTTTGGTGTAAACACGAATATCCTCAAAAAGAAGACGATATTCCTAGTATTTTAGATTATTTATGAAGCTTAGTAGGGACACCCCTCCCGCTGTAATTTTGTTGTAAGTATTACTGGAATACTTTTCTGAGTATTCCTTTTGTTCATAATACAAGTTACCTTTTTCAAAAAAAAAAGGCTCTAGAGAGTCTTCCTCGATTACTCAAACGTCACAATGGTCTTATTCCATCACAAGGGCTATGCGCAGGGCCTAATCTTTCCAAATATCAAGCCTCTGGCACTCGTTGGGCGCCCAACATTGGCCCTAGGTCACGTGCCATCCATATAATTCCCAAACTCATATAGATAGCATAGACACTCCTCATGGGTACCCAGGTAGGCTCTTGCAGTTCCCTCAAGGCAGCACAATTGGGGTGGACCATTGTCAACACACCGAGGGAGGGTTGGTAGGTTGTCACCTGCTTCCCCTCATATAATCTTTAAGAAATAACTCAACCCAATTGTCAGGATTAGACATGTTTCTGCTCAGCAATTATAATAGGCCTTCATATCTTATCTGAATTCCAAATCAGATGTCATTTGGTACAAACAACTCATCTTGACTTCCTTCACACCTCAATGAAGTTCATCCCATTGTCACACTCGTGGAACGAGTTAGGCCTTCAGAAGCTTTAGCAAATTATGACAATGTCATTGCTCCTTGGCTAAGTCAAGACCATAGGTAAGCGGACTTTAAATGACTCCAAACTTGGTAAGCATATATAAGAGCATTCTACTAACAAAGTTTTCTATTGGAATCCCTAGATTCCAATTTTAGCTCGAGAACATGTGGCGCTGACATTTGCCTATTGACATGCCCCTTTGCCTAATACTCCTACTTCATCCCCTCGTTAGCACATGTCTCCTAAATAGCTAACACTCGTGTAGCCTATTGGGGTGCACTGCAATACCAGTGTTTAGAACCCAAAGATTTGGAGTGTTAGAGGTAAACTAATTGTTAAATGCTCAAAGGATGTTGCTCCAATTATCGAAAACATCAAGGGGTATAGAATTGTATCCCTCATTAGTAAAGCCCTCAAAGATACCTCCAACAGATAGCAGGAAAGCTCAATGCATCAACCTTTTTCCTATTAAACGGTCACCAACAACCAAATACCATAGAAACCCATTTTCTCTCAAGTATCAAGAGAACAACATTCTACTGACACTTACAATAATACAGTCAGAAAGATAGAAAAAGAGCAGAGACGTGAAATAACATACTTCCAGTTAGCTTCCATTATGGACAATAAAAGGAAAGGTTCTGTCATGAAACTTTTACCAAACTTAGCTAAGATAAGAGGCAAAACAAATATAAAAAAGGAGGGAAAATAACAAAAGTGAAAGAGCATAATGATATTAGATATTTGCAAGATTTTACTATTACATTAGCTCCCATTCATCAAGTGGTTTTAGAGACATTCCACAAGGGCCAATCAACAGACACAATAATCTGATAAGTGGACCCGAAAGAACTAACCTTTGATAAATCAATAGGGACATCAAGATAATGATCCAAGAAATTTGCATTCTGTTCTGGATCAAGAAGCTCCAACATAGCACTTGCTGGATCACCAGCATGTCCCCTTCCCAGCTGCCATAGAAGCAAAAATACAGGGCTATTACTGAAATTAATCTATTATTATCCAATTTTTTCAATCATTAAGTTTGTAGAAGAAATCCAAGCAAAACACAATAAGCTCATGCTCAAAAATCTTCCCTGTGGTCATCAGACAGAGATTAAATAGTGAAAAAGAACATAGAAGTCTATCATAGTCATAGACATACAACTGAAGTAGTAACTTTGTAAACCATAAAATACCTTATCAATTTCATCTATCAAAACAAGAGGATTAGCTGTTCCCACACTTTTTAAACATTGCACCATCTTCCCTGGCATGGCACCAATATAAGTCCGTCGATGTCCCTTGATGTGTATCCGAAAGTTAGTCATGAATATTAAAGATTCTGTGCACCACAAAAAAAATGTTGTTTGAGCTGGTCAGATCTTTCCATACCTTTATTTCAGCGACATCAGACAACCCTCCAACAGAAAATCGGTAGAACTTGCGGTTCAATGCACGTGCAATTGAACGACCTATACTGGTTTTGCCTACTCCAGGAGGGCCAGAGAGGCATATGATTTTCCCTGTTCAAGAAAAACAGTGCAATGAGTGTTTCTAGTTACTGACTCACATTCATAGATTAAAATGAGATAAAACAAGTGCAGCACACGTGAAAGATAATATCAGCATATGGGACTTATATCATCACTTGAATCTGATATTGTCATAGCTAAGGTGGAAGGACTTTTTTCTAGAGTCTAATTTACCCTTCGTCTTTGGATCATATATTTTAATACCCATACAAGTATCTGTTTTTTCTCGACAATTCATAGTTCTCAAAGACTGTCCTCTACAATAATCATATCTCAACTTCAATGTTGTAAAATGTAAAGATATATCAATTCCCTACTAGACTTCAGACATCAATGTTTTTAAACCTTTTGTGGACATTGGTCATCTTGTGAAAATTTTTGAGTTTGTATCCCCTTGTTCAACCATAGCACCCTGGATCCTGGTCTCCAAGCAATTTCCTCAAATCTGGCTATCTCCTCAAATTCCATAGATAGATTTCGAATTACCATTATATTATAGTCGTGCCAAGCACGAAGGCGCAGATGCGGGCGGATAGTAATCCAAAGGATAACAAGGTAAGAAAAGCATAATCCAAAGGATAACAACTTGGTCATGACGCTGTGATTTGCAAAAGCAAATTTCAAAAAGATGAAGCAGTTGCCCAAGTCACTATCGAAGAAGGGGAAGACCACTTATTTGTGGCAACTTGTTTTTCAACCAAAGTAACTGATTTTTGGATGATTGATTGTACAAACCACATGACATATGAAAAAAATCTTTTTAAAGAGTTCATTCCTATGAAAAATAAGAAAGTCAGAATTGGGAATGGCGATTGTATTTTGCAGGGTCTGTTGCAATTAAAACAAATTCAGGTACAAAAATAATTTCAAATGTTCTTTATGTGCCTGATATTGATAAAAGTTTGTTTAGTGTTGGTCAGTTAATAGAAAAAGGATTTAAATTATAATTTGGAGACAAATATTGTCAAATCTTTGATTCCAATGAGCAAGAGATTTTACAAGTTGAAATGAGAGGTAAGAGCTTCTCATTTAATCCAACAGAAGATGCACACAAGCCTTGCAAGACAAAAGATGAATTGGCAGATTTGTTCACAAGGTCAATTTTAGATGAGACTACAATCTACAATTCTTGATCCAAGGAGGAGTGTTGAGAATATGTCTCAGGATATTGCAGAAACAAAACAGTTAGCTACTTTTAGGGTTTTTAAATTATTTTATTGGAGTCCTATGTGACTTGAATTTAGGAGTTAGTTCTTTATTTGAATTTTATTGATAAATTAATAGCATATTTTTCTATTTTTAGTTAGGAATTACATCTATAATGTCTCTGAATTATTAATAATATAATTCCCTTCGACAATACTGCAGTATTTTTTCTCACGAAGTCTTTCCCTATTATTTTCTTAATTTCTTTATTAAAAAAACCAACAAAAGTGTCACATTAATTGGGACAAAGGGAGTATATGATTATGGCTAACCTTGTAAAACTAAAGATAATAAGAAAATGAGGGTAACTATTTTCAAAAAAAGACTGGCATCTACCAACCTTGTGAGGTTCCTCGGAGTTTTCCCACAGCTATAAATTCCAAAATCCTTTCCTTAACATCGCTTAACCCATAGTGGTCTTCATCAAGAATTGTTTCTGCCCGTAGTACATCAAAGTTCTCATCACTGCATTTTGGATTACATAAGAAGAAAAATTTTAGGAACCAATGTTAACAACCATGGCATAGAACAAAACTATAAAGCCAGGCCCAGCACCATCCACAAACATGGACTATGACAAATCAAGCTCCCAACTTATCCTACATAAGGAGCCCATCATCAGTACAATCCAAATCTTGCTCTCATGAGTGAACATTCTTTCTAATGATAGACCCTGGAATCCAGATAAACTCATAAATTGGGATGCCAAGGAAGCATCATCAAAGTCAGAAGCATGCATGTGAGAACCCAAATAAGGAACAGAAGGAGAAACAAAAGTGGGAAGATGATTCAATATACGCAAGTCAAATCACTAGGCAGTAAGGTTAACTCGGAAGTCAAATCACTTGTCCGGTTGTTGGCCAAGGAAGCAGCTCTTACTCAAGACAATGTCATGAAGAGAGGGATAACCTTATGCTCTAGATGCTTTCTCTATGGGGAGACTTTAGAGAATGTGAATCATCTGTTTCTACACTGCAAGTACACTCAACAATTATGGAGGATTTTTTTGAGTCACAAAGGCATCTCCTGGACTATGCCTGGGAAAGTTTCAGAGGCTTAAAGAGCTGGGAGGAAACAGGAGTACTGGCAAAAGACAGAGGCAGATGGAGACTTATCCCTGCTTCAATATGGTGGGCAATATGGAAAGGGAGGAACTCTAGGTGTTTTGAGAGCATAGAAAACAGTGTGCAGAAAGTGAAGCTCAACTGCATTTTGCTATTATGTTTTTGGTGTAATCAGTTATACTCAAATGATACTATCTCTATAATTGATGTTTTAGACTCAATTTAGCCATAGAGCAGTAAGAATTTGGGGCTTTTGTATATAAGGTCGTACTGTTTTGTGATATAATACAACCTTACCAAGTTAAAAAAAAAAGAATAATATTTCTACTTCTCACTAGATGATTGATTGTCTTTAATAACAATGTACTTGATGTCATGCCTACCTATACGATGTCTTTATTTCTAATCCCTGCAAGTGTTGTGAAGAGATTGGATGCACTTAGAAGAACTTTCTTTGGCAAGGAAACAAAGACAAGAAAAAGATCCATCTGGTGAGATGGAGCACAGCTGCAAAGTTACAGCTAGTAAGAAGGAAAGAGGTCTTTAAGATCGGGAACTTGAGAGTCCAGGATCAAAGCCTGATGATGAAATGGTTATGAGAGGTTTTCTGCCGAAGAATTATTTATGGAAGGATGTTATCAAGATAAATATGGGATGGAAATGGACAACTAAAGTCATGAACAACCCGTATGGGGTCAGCTTATGGAAATCCATCAGAAGCTTATGGCCTAACTCATAAACAAATCCAGCTTCAAAGTAGGAAAGGAATGAAGACATCCTTTCGGAAAGACAACTCGCTAGGCCAAAAATCACTGAAGCAGCTCTCCCCTGATATTTATCTTGAATTAGCAGCAGGGAGCAACTGTGGGTGGGGTCTGGTTAAACTCATGATCGAATCACAATTTCAAAAAACCGTCAAATGACAGGGAGATTGGCATGCTAACAATGTTTACTACACCCAAGAACAATTCAAAGAGATTTCTACTACTGAAGAGGGTAATCTTGGCTTGGGAATAGACAAGGTGAATTTTCTGTTAAGTCAACTTTACAAGGAACTTGACCTTCCAAATAATCAGATTGGTCGCTGGCCTTGGAAATTGATAGGGAAAGTGAAAATTCCATACAAGTTGCTTGTTCCACATGCCTTTTGGCCAAAAAAGAAAAAATGAAACAAAATCTTGATTCTGGGTGATATCTTTTTGCTCTGTAGAATGACAGATCAATTACGGAAGAGTTAGGTGGGTCATGCCAAGGAGAATTCATGAAGTCCTAGCATGTTGGAATAGAGATGGCAGCCTATCCAGTTAGAAAGAGAGATGGAGGATTGTCCCAACTAGCATTTGGTGGACAATTTGGACGAACAGATACCAAAGATTTTTGAGGACAGCAAGAGTTCTATACAGAAACTGAAGATAAATTGTCAATTCCTTTACTATTTTTGGAGTAAACAAGAGAATTTAGAAGCTGTGGAGTCTATTTTTGATGATTTAGATTACTTGTGAGAAGACAAAAGTGCTAGGAACTCTAGTTGTACTATTTTCTCTAAATATGGAAGATTACACTGCTTTCTAATTGTATAGTCCAGTTTATATATATACAAATATGTTACCTTCTCAAAAAATAATCACACTTTTGTTATTCCATTAAGTCAGCTTCTCTCAAACAGATTCCAATATTACAGCTAATCAAGGATACAGATAGCATCAGTTGAACTGAACCAGGACAATATAAGGTACAATAGACAGTCAAGATAGGCAACAAACCTGTAACTACCCCATGGCAAGGCAGTCAACCAATCAAGATAATTACGTGTCACATTGAATTCACTTGAACTAGCTTCCAGTAGTTGCAGTTTTGTAAGTTCTTCTTCAATAACTTGCATGACATGAGCCGGTATTTTTTCTTTGTTAGGCTCCAGCCTTTCCCTAAACTTTGCTGCAGTAATAAACAAAGGTTTTGTCACACCATTAGATGTAATAAAAAGGAATTAACAAATTGTATGTCTAACCCTTAAAGCAAATCTAATGATAAGGTAATTTCATCTCTTGACTTCAAAACCAAAACCAGGTCCGTCCAAAATGTTGCAAAGTGCGGCTTGACTATATCTTTGTGTAAATTATTGACAAATGAAAGAATGAAAACCACATTTTAGAGTACGTGTAAATTATTGACAAAATTCTTCTTTGTTATTTTGTGTGTGTGTGTTCTCTCTATAAGACTTTTTTAATTTAATTTACTATAAAAAATTGTATTATTATTTGGGCTAAATAATATAGCTCAAATTCATGAACTTTTAAAGTATTTATAGTACTATTTAGTATGCAATAAACGTGCAACGCAAGTGTTCGAGAACTAGTTAAGAGAAAACAAACCAGAAAGAGCTGTCTTGTCATCCGTCTCCAAACCTAGTTCCTGCAATAAGGCAATCAAAATCAGAGTCATTGAAAATGCCTGTTTGAGGACTGAAAATCAACTCTTTCATTCATAACATTGAGTCAGAAGCTCAACATATATAGGAATAAACATATGCAAGTTTAACTATAAGAAAATTGCACATAATCCACATGCCTTCTTTATGGCCTTTAATTGCTCATTCAATAAATAACGGCGTTGCTCTCCACTTATTTTTTCTTCAATCGCTTTTGCTATTGATTCCTGCAGAAAACAAAGAAGTAAATTTCTAAATGCATGCATAACTATTCAAAGTTCTGGTATGCATCTTGACGTGCATTTACCTGAATCTTACTGATCTCCATTTCTTTCTTCACTATCTCCAGAGTAAGTTGTAGTCGTTTATGCACCTGATACAGGTATTATGAGGTTAACTATGAAACAACATACAAGAGACATTCACTTAATCTTATGTATGCCAGTATATTTTGATTGTTCAGCGGACAAAAGGGAGATCCTTCTGCCAGTGATGATTGCTTCCAATAATCAGGAAATCAAAAATACAAAAAACATTGTTATATTTTCAACACAGGTGAAGATTGCTACCAATGATCATGGAATCAAAATACAAAAGAAACATTGCTATGTTTTCAACACTCATGATAGGTAGAAGGATCTATGTCCATCCCCACCTTCCATACCCACCGTTTGGTATTCATCTATCAATCTATGTATCGAAACAAACTCACATACAGAAAACGGTATGTATCTAACTTCTTGAACCACAGGAACTTACGTCTAGCTCTTCAAGCACTTGCTGGCATTGCAGCTGGTTGGCTCCAGATATTGCTGCTCCAAAATCTGCTAACCTTGCATAATTGAAATCACCAATATGCTGCAGCTTCAAGAAGTTAGAATATTGAATGGTGATAAACATAGTAATGCTGAAGACCGAGAACTATTGGTTGAGTCATTATATAGGCATTAGGCAATATAATAAAAGAGCTTCTATTTTTGTCACACCAAAAAATTACAAGAAGTCCTTTTGAGTACTTTCTTCTAACTCTATTGAGACCCTATGGTGGAAAAACAAGACTATTGATTCCAAAGTTAGTTGTAACCGATTTAAGGCATAGCAAGAAGATCATCTCAAAATAACACACTCAGGAGTCGTTTGGTAGGCCGCATTATAAGAAATAGTCCATGTATTATGTATGGTATTATTTAATTCTATGTTTGGTAGGAATTTGGGCCTATGTATAACTAATTCATGGATTAGTTATACATCTTACATGGTATTATAGGATGCATTACTAATACCTTCAATTTGGAGGTATTAGTAATACATAGGATATAATACCATGGGATAAGTCTATGTAAAGACAAAAATATCCCTCAAATCATTTTAATTATTTTGTTTATTTTCTTGATTTTATGTTTTATATTTGTACTAGTAAATTTATTTAAATAAATTAACTTACAAATTATTTAGAGAGAGTTGTTTGTTACTTAAATAAATCCAATACAAATCAATACAAATTTGAAATGTGAGTTGTTTAACATTTACTAATTAAATAGGCAAATATATCACTACATGATGTTTCTAATTATTTGTATTTTGAACAATTTAAAAAATTACATACATATTAAAATTACAACTTACAATTTTTATGTGTAAATGTAGATGGTTTATTTAATTTTACCATTGTTGACCGTCTTTTCGATTTTAAAAGTAGATGGTTTATCTTTTTTAAATTGAAAATTGACATTTTGTGGGTGATCAATTTATTAAGATGACAATTATTTATCCTCAAATAATTAAAGTGAAAAAATAGCACACATGACAACAAAATTGTTCTTCTCATAGCTATTTAGAAGGCCATAAAAAAATAATATTGTCCGGCAATTATCTACCTTGACCCAATTACATAATAATTCAAGGGTATAATTGGAAAAAAGTTCTTTATAGAGTTTTAATCAAACACAAGATGAAGTGGTAAACAATGAACCAAACACTTGATAAAAATAAATCCTGCATTACTAATCCTTGCACTACTAATCCCTGCACTACTAGCAATCGCTAATCCCTGCGTTATTAATCTTTGTACCAAACGACCCCTTAATGAATTGAGATCTGAACCATTCAAATTCAAACCTTCATGACTTGCAAAAAAATGAGGCCTTAGTCTCCTCTTTCAGTAGGGCACCAAAATAAGGCAGAAAATCTAGTCATGGCTTTGAGTAACACCAAGACAAACAACGTCTTCCAAGAAGAACAACATGAAATGCCAAACATAGGGGGTGAAGTTAAGCAGAATCCACCATCATTTTGGAGCTTCACAATAGTGTCACTCAGAATATCAAAAGGCAACGCATTTAGAGAGGGTAAGAAAGTAAATTAGATTAGCAAATAAATAAAAATATCAGAGTTCTCACCAAATAAAACAATTAGGGCTTAACGTTTAGGAAGAAATGACTCACACCTGGATATAAGTTTGAACATGATCTTTCCAAAGAGAACTTGTCTTCAAAACATCTCGTAGGGTTGATAGAACTTCAAAAGATGTTGCCTTAATAACATCGTCGTCTTTGTTGTACGGCTTCTCCTGCAACATAATTAAGGAAGCAAAATTTGAAAAAATAAAAAATAAACATCAAGCTGTATGAGTTCATCATTGTTGAGTAGAAAGAAAGCCAAACAATTGACGCATACCTTGAGATGATCAACTTTCACTGTAAGGGGTTCCTCGCTGACCTGCAAATGAATGTCACTGTTTCAGTCCTCAAAAGTGATTCTCTTGTACATTTCACAGTATGGTTTATTGAGACGAAAGAAACAACAATATGCTGACAGTGAACATTCAACAGTGTGTCAAATCTAACTGCATAGTCCACAAATTGTTTCACTAGTACACTGAAGATATTATTTACTGAAAGAAAAGAAATAACTGCAGAAGGAAATCTGACTGCAAACATAAAACAGTATGTATAATATAATAGGAGAATTATTATTGAGAGAGCTGAGGGATTGAGACTTAAGTCAAATAAAAGAGGGAAAGAGGTCCTCAACCACAAAATATAAGGAAAAATTAGGAGACCTTTACACCTAAAACCAAGAAGACGACTCTGACCATATTAGAGAGCAAACATTTAGGATTCTGTTCAAACTTCTGTGTGTTTTACTATATCTTAAGTGTCTATTGCAGTTATTTATTTTGTACATTCAAATCTGTCAAGAACGAATTTCTGGTACGCCCAGCGGGACCAACTATTCAATTGCATCTCTTGCTGTCACAATTCAGATTTGCAGACTCCAGAGCCAACTGCTATGGCCTTAAGGAAGGGCTTTGGTTTAGTGGTAAGAGCGCAGCATGATATGTGGATTAGGCATACATCAATGATTCGAGCCTTGCTGCAGATAAAAGCTTGGCATTTAGGTGGAGAAGGATAGAAGGGCGGGCCCATTATCCCCAAGTATTGAACTGCACACCACTTGCCCTCGGGGATTTCATTAAAAAATATTGATATTGGAAAAGTCTAGGATTGCATTCAGATCAAATGCATCGACAGTCAAAGACATCAAAGAATTAACTCAATTGCCTTTCTCTTCTACAAACCCGAAATTGGATAAGAAATACATTCATATGACTTTACAGGAAACCAGCTGTCCAAAAATAAATACAATATCAGTGCTACTTTCTCTAGCAAAAAGCAACCAAGAATAAATAAGTGTCCCATTCTATTGGAAAGACATTATACACAACAGCAGAAAAACAACTCATTTAGCCGCAAAATAGAAGAGCCCTCTATTCCATAGCTTCTCAGTTTTATGAAGCCAAAGGAAAAGGACTGTGTATTCAAATACAGAAGGTAGGAAAGAGAGAAAAGTATACAAGTAAATGAACCCAAAATGTTAAATCTACAGTCTTCACAATCAGGAGATGAAGGAAAATATGGTTAAAAACAGAAGGATAGAGGACAAAAAAGAAACATATGGAGGTACTTTAAAACAGCAAAACATAAAGCATACTTACCACTTCTGTCATACGTATCCGCCTGTGACCAATAAGAATAACCTGGTCTCCTTGAATACTTGTTATCTAGCTCATCATAAGTTGCATCAACCTTGATCAGAAACTTCTTCAATCACTAAAAACAAAGCACCAGCATACATAAGGAACAACAAGATATACCTGAGCAAGTGTACCAACTTCATGAAGACGGCTAAACAAGTCTTTTCCTTTGAGCTCATAGATGTTTTTTTCTGTATCTGATGCAGACACAACATTAGGATCAGTCCCTTGCTCATCTTTTATAAGGAAAGCACCAGCATAAGGTGCTTGCCTTTTTCGACTTTCCACCAAGGCTGCTAATACCTTAGGATCCTGCAGTTTAAACTTACACATTATATGGAGTCTCAGATCAATTTGTTGCATGTCATTACAGTATCGTTTATCTTTTTCTGGAAACTAACAAATGCAAAAGAATATTACAACTGAGCAAACGATGCTCACTGCTCCAATCTGAAGGATTTTAGCTTTTCAATCTTACAACTTCAGACAGGAATTTTTCATCAGCAAAGCAGCATTCTTAAAGTTGAATACTGGTTTTACAGACGTCAGAGGAGGAAAATAGTCTCCCAAACACTAGTTGAAACAGTACAACTATCAAAACTATGGGCCAAAGGATGATACATCACAATGATCCTTCCGGTATTACCTCTATAATTTAGTATAAGCTTTTTTTCTGGATAAGAAACCAATTTATTCAAAAATAATAATCACACAACGGTGATGAAACTTCGTAGATGAAATCATTAAGATCCTTCTACTCTTAAATAAAAATCTCACTAAGCCATTATGGCACCAAACCCAACCCGTCAGGCGAATTAATCTTTAAGTAACCACAATACAAAGGCAATATGACATGATAAGATGTAATAGAGTAACACAATTGCTACAATCAGTAATTAAATTATGCTCTGAATGCTTGAAGTATTTTATTTGAACATCTAAAAGACAAAGTAAGATATAGTTTAACCCGTTCTAGACAAGGTACCATACCTTTACATAAATAGGCATATAAACCCCTGGAAATAATGGTCTGTGAGGAAGTGGCAGCGCTAGAACCTGCAACAAGAAAACAATATGCATCATTAAAAAGAATTAAAAAATACAGGTACGCACTTCATGTATTTTTAGCATGATAAATTATAAAGCCCTGCAAGTCTCACTGATATATCTTATCCAAAGGTAACCAAACAAGAAGGCAAGAAAAGGGTATGCACCCGTTAAATCTTCAAACAGATAGAATGATGAGCAAATAAGAAGCCTACAAGAAACGGTGTTTTCGTTGCATTAGTATTTCTCTTTTTTAGGGAAGGTTGTTAAGTACCACCTTTACACGAATCTTGCATTATCTCAACTAGCAAAATTTGGAATACAGAAATGAACCAAAAGACTGGATGGTAGATAGCACCTTCTCTTTTTCAAAAATATTCTCTCACCCAGCTCTTTCCTCTTTCTGGTAAAAATCCAAATTTTCACCTTTGATCCCTTCTTTATCACTATATTTGCACCCCCCCCGCACCCCCCTTAAGCTAATCAATGTGTTATTCCTTGTGTGAGTGTCAGTTTTTCTCCAGAAGTACTTTGTATTCTTTGTATTTCTGTCCCCCTATTTGAGCCAAAGATGTCTATAGTTTTTGTCTCCATGAGATTTCCTCAGCTTTGGCAATATGTTGCAACGCCATGTTTAAGTTGAACATTCGCATCCCTTCAACTTGTGACAACTGTCTATTCTCATTGGCTTGCTCAAGAGTGAACAGCTCATCCAGTGCTCTGGATTTCCTCTCCTCCACTTTTCCAAATACTTCCTGGTTCCAAGTTGTGATGTCCTTCTTAAGACTTTTAGTTCTTGCATTAGGACAAAATCTGGACTCCCATTGAATAGGTATCCCTGTCATCATTCCTTGACTCAATCTAGGAAGCCTTCTAATTTCAGCCACATGTTTTCAAACTTGAAATAGGAAGAATTAACTTCCCAATCTTTCAAGAAGAATTGGCTTATGATCAGAAATGACTTTAGAAAGTGTTAGCTGCTTCATTTATTAAAGCATTAGTTCCACTCAGGAAAGATGAGGAATATATCAACTCTCGAGGCATGAATATCATGTTCTCCTCAGAATCAGGTGCCTGAGCCCCCCTGGAGCCATCTAACTTGGACTCTCCAAAAATGCATCTGCACTAGTGATTAATATTGTCTCTTTTATTACGGCCGTTCAGGCCCTTAACATTCCAAGACAGTTTTTTTTTTAGAAATGTAACTATGTATTCACCAGTACCAAGCTGATACTGAATTTGGCAAGTTACAAAGGCCTAGGATCTTACAGGGAATCAAAAAAATCTGCAAGTGATTCTGTAGTATCTACTACATAATTCTCTTTATACCAGAATTGAAATGACCAAAAGAAAAAACAATTTAGCTTGATAATCTGTACAGATTTACTTCTATTCTCGAAAAAGCTAATGTTCCTCTACTGTTACCATTGCCCAAAAAAAAATCTATTGTTCCTCTCTTTCCAAATGGTCCACCAGATACAAGCTGGTGCTATTGACCACCACTGCTTCTGATAGTATTTTAATCCTCATACATAAAAGGATTTGTGGAACTTTGCCATGTTTCAGATGTTCTAACCATCATAACTGATACACCAAAACAATTTATCCAATTCAACTTTCTGTTTATCTTTGTTTTTCTTATTCCTCTTGCATGTTGTCTTATGTTGTTTAACTGAATTTGCCTCTTATGTTCCAATTTGCAGAATTGTGTCAAGCAATTCATGTTGGAAGAATTGTTGGAATCCAGCAGATTAATCCAGAAGCTTTGCATACCTTCCCCATTACTAACTTCCTTGATGTTTCTATAACAGTGGAACTGTGCACCACATGCGAGCTTGCACCTTCGCCCTACCTTGGAAGGGGGAGATGACAGTTTGATGAAAATTCAGTACCAAACCTGCTGAGCATGCTTGACTCTGGGGTCGGAATATGATATGAAAGAAGAATGTTGAGATTCCATGATGGCTCTGCTTCATCATCTGATTCCGAACAACTGAAGAATACTGCTCAGTTGAGTGAATCAAAGTTGTGTCTACTGTCTATAGTTTCTAGTTCTTTCCCATGATGGTCTGTAGTGGATATCATATTGAGGGCCTTAAAATCGATTTTCACTAATCGGCCCAACAACTCTCCATTAAATTTTCTTCACTTAATTCTTCTTTTTATTTCTCTTGCCTTGGACCTTCCTCTTTGTGCCTTTGGAATGGTGTAACAGTTGTTGTCCAAACATTGGCCTGAGTCCCCACGTGGCTAGGCAAGTGTCTACAAGAGATGGGGTGTTTGGGTGAATTGCTTGGTTCGAGGGATAGACTTGACCAGCAGCTCACTAACCTTCATGCCAAGATGAACTACTTTTCTGATTGGTTTAGATTTGTCGCACCAGGCACAAATATCAAGATCAACAATGACACTATATCGGAATTTTCACACAAATCCTTGTCCATTGAAGGTGGAGTTTGTTCCTTGTATCTTCATCAATTTCAACAAATCCCTCACATAAATCTCCTACGATCCCATATGTCTTTGCTGCCCAGAAATGCAGTGGAATACCAACGGCTTAAACCTAACTTTGAACCTTCTATCTCGACCACCATTATAGTGACAGTCTTCTTCCATTCCAGAACCAGTCCCCTGCTTCAACTCTTACTGCTGCTTGTCTAGAAGGGAGATAAAAAAAAAGGAACATGTTATGTTTTAAAGCTGTAATTTTGAGACCTGCAATGATTGGCCACCTGTTGGACAAACCATTTATGAATCGTTTCAGTATTGGGACAAGGTTGAATGAGACGTTGGAACATCTTATCAAGCATTTGGATAGAAATTGACTGTTGTTCATCTCATTGCTAATCTTAGCTTTGTTTGTACCCAACTACATTCCTTGTGGCACCATGTTTTGACACAGTGGAAACTTTGAGCATCAATGAAAGGTTTGATATCTTGGATATATAGATTAAAATTTGGAGTTGGTATTATTCCCCAAGAACCAGAGAAGCTTTGATATTATTTCCCCCATCTCCAATTGGAGTTCTTCTCTGGAATAATCATGGCAGGTTTCCTCTCCCCCAGCCATACCTCAATCCTTATGTATGTTATTGTAATTTTGGAGGACTATAAGTACACACTTGAATTTTCCTCCCCCATCTCATGCATATGTTTCCCCTCGCTTGTGATCCTGTTTTATAGTTTCACACACACACCGCTAAATTTCTACATCGACTTTGATAGTGCTAGAAAGTCTCCTATTGAGCTCTATTAATGAGAACCACCTATCATCACTAATGTCTAATAACTCGAAAAGGAAATTCAACCAAAATAAAGAGTGTTTTTTTCACCATTGCTAAAGAGGTAACAGAAAATACGTCGGAGAAAGGACCGAAAGAGAGAGTTTAGAGAGCAGGCCCATTTCCCAAGTCTCAATAACTGCTCTTACAGACTGTATTTCCTGTTCAAATTTTCATTCAGAATTGAACAAGAAGGATGTTGGACTTATTAATCAATGAAAATCAAAATCATTCGCTGGAATACGAGGGGTTCAAATAAATTAACAAAAGAGAAATTTTGAAAAAATGATGTGAGGCACCGGAAGGCCAGTGTCCTGTGTTTCGAGAAACCAAGTTAGCTATTGTGACCTAGATGAGAATGAATGAAATGTGGGGAAATAGATGCTGGGTTTCATGGGATGCAACACATAGTTTTGGTGACGTTGATGGAACTAAAGAAATGTAAAGAAATAGATAGATGAATGGGCATCGACGCATGCTACACAAAAATAAAATGGGATCATAGTCATGTGGGAGAAGAGAAAATTGAGATGTGACAATTTCACGGGGAGGCACTCAGATCCTCTTGTTCAACTTATTCAAGCTAATTACTAGAGTATCTTCCAGGTACATATGCCGATCAAATCTAGAAACTACATAGAGTTAGATGCAGTAAAGGCATGTTGGATATGCCTAGTCGAATGAGAGTTGACTTTAGTTGGTGTGAATCCAAGAAAGGACAAATAGCTCTATCATCGAATAATCCATGTAGGAACTTTCTGAAATTTCAGCCTTGACATAGAGCTGACAGAGGCAACATGGAAAGTTACAAATGGTCCAAAGGGAGACAAGGCAGGAAGTACTCAGGGATTGATGGGTTTCTATTAATAGGAGATTTCAAAGAAAGTTCCTCAACTATTATGCAGATGGTTTAACTGAGAACATTCCCAAGTCACAACATTCTTCTTGCTTGTAGGATTCTCTAGTAAATAGAAACTTCCTTTACATCTGAAAATTGTCGGACAATAAAAGAAGGAAGTAGATGAAAAGGTAAGTAGTTGAATAATTATTACTGAATACATGAAACCTAGTTTTCAGGTGTGAAAAGCACAAAGATATTTTTTTTGTCAGACTAACTAAACACTAATATTCCACTAACTAACATTGCCATTGTATTATGTATCCTTGAATTCAAGGTAAGATGAACACCTTGAATTTACTTTTATCGAAAACCACATACCAGGGGACAGTAGTTGTAATAGTAAAGGGTATCTATAAATAGAATAATTCAAAATGTGAATTGTCAGTGGAACATCATAATGGATTTTTTCGTCGAAACACTAAAATTGCAGAGGTGAAGAAAGCACTGACATGCAGCACAGATTAAGGGAACATATTCCCAATCATCAGAGAGAAGGCGACAATAGAAATCTCAAGACCATCCTTGGTGTGGCATAAGGTGGCAGCTAATGTGGCTCAAATTGGTGGCTAAATAGTGAGCGAATAGCAATTAGAAGTGTCCAAAACAGTATCTTAATCTGTAAATAGAACATAATTAGAACAGCGGCAGAAACTTAATGGAAGTCTAAGATGTAATAGCTATCCTGTAGACTTTTTTTTATTGAATTTTATAGCACCGCCTTGGTACTCTTTCGATAAAATTTACTTTCCTGTATCGAAAAAAAAAATGTGGCCCAAAAGATGTCAAAATATTTGGGCTAGAGATGTAGTATTTGTTTGTTTCATAATTGATATATAATTTTGGTTGGATAACTAATTCGCTTTTAATGACTATTAATGTGTTTGGAGTAGCACATATTTTATTCGAGTGCTTATAGAAATGGTTAAATGTATGGAAAATTGGTTCACCCAACAGGTGGTGTTAGCAAGTGTCAGTCGCGTCTAGGGGATATTCTGGGATGTGACAAAGTTGGTATCAGAGCTTAGGCCTTAAATCCCTAGAGTAGTATTTAGTAGAGTTTTGTTTATATGTATGTGTCCATATTTATGACCTTAAGGCTACTGAATATCAAGGATGTTTTCCCTTTTTCATCCCTTGTTCGTGCGTTGAGTTGAATCAAGTCTAACCTTGAAATGTTATTTCGCAAATGGCTAAAAAACGTGCTTCTTCTGCTATTGGTCGAACTAATGCATCCGCGGGACGTGGTGTTGGACATGGTACTACCCCTTGTGCTAGTAAAGTTGTGGCTCATCAGATTAGGCTCAAACTAGGGCATAGGCCGATCCTCAACCTGGAGTTGTGAATGGGGTCAACCTTTATTTCATAACAATGATTAATTGATTTCCCCCTCTTGGTATCAATTTCTAGAAAAATCATGTCGAATACTAAATTCTGCACCTCCAGACTCCCTTTTGTTTTGGTGTAGTAACCGACTTTAAAGCAATCTCCATTTTCTTTTCATTCTCTTCTGTCTATTTTCATAATAAGTGAGAGTCCCCCCCCCCCCCAATAACCCTCAAAATTGACCCCATTGGCAGTATTCATCATTAAAAAATATTCTAATGGACACATATAATGCATCCATCTCTGGGTCAAGGAGTTGGGTATCCAAAGGTTCAGCTTCATCAGCAAACCAATTCTCATGAACTTTGATCTCTGTCAGCTAAAGGGCATCTGAAGCGAGGGAAAGGAATAATACTCCCCACTGAAGTTGTCATTGTATCATCAACCATATCGAGGACACCTCCACCATGTAGAGAAGTCTCCTAAATTTCAAAATTGGTGTTGACAATGGGAATTCTTTCAAAAAGAAGAGGATAATAAGAACTGTCTTGGGTCCTTGTGTAGTGCATTTTTCTCCATCAATGGATCATTATCTAAGGCTGCAAACCTATTTGTGGTGTGGATTTTGTGGCTCACTTCTGACTCCTTAATAGACCTTGAATTAGGCTTAATAAAATGAGAGATCCCTCGATCCAATGTTGTGAGCTTAGAAGTAAGTTGACCCAATCTGAGTTTAACTAAAAGGGTAATCCTAATTGAAGCTACAATAGCATTAAAAAGGTTGCTCATGTGAGGTTTTCTGATGTCCTAAGAAAATTCAAATCGAGATTCTTTACAACGAAGGGTTGCATTAAAAAAAATCTTCAATTCTCATTTCATTAAAATGATAATGCTAATTGAAGCTCCAATAGCATCAAAAGAGTTGCTCAATCGATGTGATATAGTTTGAAGATCCTAAGAGAAAAATGAAGGTTCCTTAATACTACAGCATGATTAAAAAAAGTCAACAATACTATTCTTTTTGCCCCAAACGGAATGGCAGGGTTCAAAGTATGAGGATCAAAGCATCTAATAATAAAAACATTCTTTTGAGACGGAGAGAGCATCAAGAGTTGTTCCTGAAAACAAAAATGTTGAAGACCTTCACAACATTGTATGAGGACAGTTCAAGGTAGGGAAGGCCCTTTACTAAAAAATAATGAGTATTCGAGTAAACTAGAAAATATGATCTTTGTGATCCACCTTTTTTATTTTAAAAGCTAACTTATTAACCAACCATCCCTTGCTATTGCCCTAATCTTGACATAGTGTTGCAACCAAAGTCAAAATTATTTTATATGAAATTTATTCCAATTTTTCGTCAATGCCAACCACAAAGAATTGAAATTTCATCATTTGTGGTCATAAAAATGACTAAAATCACACCACAACTACCCAACGCAAACATAAAACCAACAGTCATTTTACATCTTTTTTTGGGCACAAGCTGACATGGTGACGGTGTCTTTTGTTTAGGGGGTCAAATTACCAGCCACCAAATATTAGAATATTGTGAATTTGCAAATGATGAACCAGGAAAATACTTAACACACTGGTATTTGCACCAAACATGTTAGAAGTGTAAATTGAAGTAAGTAGTGCAAAGACACATGTAAATCTAATTGGTTCGGAGCCAAGAGCTAGTGCAAAGTAAGTATAGTATTTTTATCGGCCGGAAATGTAAACTAACCGTTAGGCAATCTTCAGGCCTAAATACAGTAGGAACAATTGCTGCGGAAGCGTTTGAATCAGCATCTCCAACTTCAATTTCGCCCTCGACCTGCTTAGCTTCGGAATTCGGTTCGGACCCATCAGTAGAATCTGAACAAAAGAATCGCCGATACAAATAGGGGCCTCTACTGTTTGAACTTCTTAGGGAACCTAAAACCTGAAGCAATGGCGTATTCGACTCAGTTCCACGCCGAACTTGAGGGGTAAACGACGTTGTGACGGCGTGGAAACGATTTTGCAGACATGAGGATGTCAAAACCTTCAACATGGGTGCCAATAATGGGAAAAACTAGAATGAATTGAGGATGTTGATGGGAAAATGGGGGTTGACTATTCGCATGCTAGTTCAAGTAGGGACTGAGAACCGCCATTGACGAGCTTAGTGGAGGAAGCCGTTTTCTGCGACTCACAGCTAAAACCCTCAATAAACCCTCCAAGCTAAACAAATTACCGATATTGTCCTTCAGTTTTAAAAGTCTATAGACTCTACTAGTAGATACAAGAAGTGCCCAATATATGTTATAAAAATAAAAAATTTATATGATTTTAAAATTAGAATATTTTAAGTTATTATTATTGTAATTTATAATATATAATAATTTTGTATAATTTTTGACTATTTTTTATTTTCTTTGTTTTAATGTACGTAGTATAGGTGAAATTTCAAGAATTAATCAAATTTTTAATATGTTTTTAAAATATTTTAACTTGTTAATTATTGTAATTTATAGTATTATTTTTTTGTAATTTCACATACTAGAAAGCAAAGTAAGACAAATAAATTGAAATGGAAAAAAATACTAAATATAAATAGAGGAAGTTAAAGTAGAAGGACAAATTGGTCAATTCACTGAATGACTCGAGTTACTCATATTTCTTCAGTTGCTAATTATTGTGATTTATAATTTTTAAATATATAACATACTAAAAAAAAAGTAAGACAAATAAATTGAGACAGAAAAAGTACTAAATATAAATAGAGGAAATTGATATACTACTTTTTTGTAATTTTTATTTTAAGTACATAACATATTAAAAAGGAAAGTAAGACGCAAACAAAGAAAATACTAAACATAATTATAGAAATTAAAATAGAAAGACAAATCGATCAATTGAACAACTACCCATAAGCTCCTCGATTCCCTTCTATGTAAGAAAAAAAATAATAGAAAAAAATAAAAATAGAAATTAATTTAGGCTTCTTCAACATTTACTCCTTAAAGAAAAACAAAAACTTATATATTTATACTAGACACAAGTTTCCGTGCTAGCACTGATTCAATATCTGTTATTTTTTGTCTCAATTATGTGGCATAGCTAGAATTTAGAGAGTCAATTAAATTTTAATATGATTTTAGATATTTTAAGTTGTTAATTATTGTAAGTTATAGTACTTTTGTAAGTAATTTTTAAATAATATATGTTACTCCTCTTGTCTCAATTTATGTGGAATCAATTTAATTTTTTATATGTCTTTAATTTTTAACTCTTTTTAGAGAAAAGACATAAAGTGACACCTGAACTTGTCTCGAATTTTCAAAAAGACACATTAACTATGAGGGCATCCTATTACCCCACTAAATAATTTTGAACTAATATTATTACATCATTTTTTGTCCACCTGACATAGAGAGTGTGCACTCTCTCAAAGAGAGTGAGCAACCTAAAATTACTAATATAATTTTATTTTTACAAGTATTTTATTATAAAATATATTTTCTTATTTTTCTTATTATTTTAACTTTTTTCCTTTTTATTTTTTCTCTTTCTTTCTAATTTCTTCTTCAAAAATTCATTGTCATCTCCATTGAAGCTTCTCACTTTCAATGTCACCATTTTTACCACAACTTCACCTTTTTTTTTTTTACTACTATTAGTTTTACTCTCTTTAATTTTAAAATTTTATCTAAATATTTTCTTACATTTCGAACAATTTGATAAACTCATTAGATTTCAAGATGATTAGGAAGTATCATATAGTTTTTTTATCCGATTTCAATTAAGTACTTTCAATTTTCGAGGAATTCATTGATTCTTTTAAAATTGTCATTTCTAATTTTAAAGTTATATGAAAAGGAAAAGGAGTAATTGATGATACCTTCAAAATTTAAAATTTTCTTAGAAAAATAATTAGTTTTTTTATCAATAATTCAATAAAGTCTAGAAAATAGTATGAAATTTTTCTTTTTATAAAAATCACTAAAGTAAAGAATTTTACTGGAGAAGATGAAGAAGAAAAAGAAAAGAAAAAAATGGGAGAGGGGTTCAACTTGACGTGGGGGATGGAGTGAGGGTGGGAGCTGAAGAAAAAGAAAGAAAATGGAGGGATGAATCAGTTGAAAGTGGGGTGGAATATGAAGTGGAATTTAAGATAAAATCTAAATTAAAATAAGTTAGAGAGAGAGAGAGAAAGAAATAAAGAAAAAACTTAAAATGAAAAAAAATACATTTTAAATTAAATTAACACGTGTCATGTAATGATTGGTGTGTGAACACACTTGTTTCTTAAAATCTGGGGTTGATCGAAAAATAATATAATAATATCTATTCAAAATTGTCTAGTGAGGTAATAGGACGGTTGCAAAGTTAAGGTGTCTTTTTGAAAATCCGGGACAACTTCAGTGGTGACTTTATGTCTTTTCTCCTTTTTTTAATTATTGTGATCTATATTACTTTTACATCATTTTTAAACAATATATGTTACTCATCTATTCCTATTTACGCGGCACTAATTTGAGGGTCAATCGAACTTTTTATATGTCTTTAAATATTTTAAATTGTTAATTATTGTGACTTATAGTATAGTTTACTTAATTTTCAAATAATATATATTACTCCCTTTGTCCCAATGTATGTATCACAGATGGAATTTCAAAAGTCAATCAAGTGTTGCTAATTATTGAGATTTACAATACTTTTTTTTGTAGAAATCTCACGTAAAGATTAGAGAAATCAAGGATTGTATTGATGATTAAATTTGTTCGAGTACAAACTCCTTATATAGGAGAAGAGTCCTAGACTAGTTATACTTAGAGTCCTACTACAATACAAAAATATAATTTAAATGAGTAATATAGGTTTACTACTACTACGATAACTACAATACTTTATCCTAGTTCTTTGGACATGTTCCTATCATTAGCTCCATTCATCTTTCAACACTTTCCCTCAAGCTAGTGAGTGGCGAAACTGTTACTCCTAGCTTGCTTCGAAACCCAAAAAAAACTTGTTTTGTCAATGCTTTGGTATTAATGTCAGCTATCTGATCATTGGACCTCACACACTAAGTAAGAAGTTGTCCTCTGACCAGCTTCTCACGAACAAAATGAAGTCCATTTTAACATGTTTGGTTCTAGCATGCATAACTGGACTAATTGTCATGTACCATACACTTAATTTATCACAATACAATATAGGAACAGATTTGAGAAACACCCCAAACTCATGAAGTAGATATATGATCCATGTCATTTCTATTGTAGTGGAGGCCAGTGATCTACACTCAGCTTCAGCACTCGATCATGCTATTGTGGTACGTTACTTGGAAGTCCAAGAAATAAAATTTGCACCTAGGTAAATGTTATAGCTTGTAGTTGATCTCCTAGTGATGGTACAACCTCCCTAACCAGCATCTGAATATATATACAACATACAATGTGATTGTGAAATAATTTTGAGCCCAAAGTGTAGAGTACCATTGATATATTTGAGAATCCTTTTGACTCCATGAAGGTGTTCAATGTTCGGACTTTGCATAAACTGATTTGCTAGATTCACAGCATGTGTGATATCATGTCTTATGAGTGTCAAATACTGAAGACTCTCTACTATCATTATGTATAAGGAGACATCTACAAGACTTCCCACAACTTCATGTAAGCCATGATTTTGAGCCAAATGAGTAGCTACAACCTTTGCTAAACTCATCTTTGTCTTGTCCAATAACTTAGAAGCATACTTACTGTGACTCAAGTGAAATCCCCCTTCAAAATACTTAACCTTTACTCCTAGGAAGAAGTGTAAAGGGCCAAGATCTTTCATAGCAAACTCTTTTCCAAGTTATAGAACCAACTCAGAGACATGTGATGGATTACTTCATGTGACAATAATGTCATATACATATAACAGAAGAAATGTGGGGCTTGTGTGAGTTTTCAAAGTAAATAAGGAGGTATCTTTCTTACTACAGATGAAACAAAGGTGTAAGAGATGTATGCTAAACCTATCAAACCAGACTCTTGGTGCATGTTTAAGATCATAGAATGCCTTTTTCAGTAGACATACATGTTGAGGATATCTAGGATCAATAATCCATGAGGTTGACTTATGTACACCTCCTCTTGTAGGAAACCATGGAGGAAGGCACTTTTGACATTTGGTTTCCTGACTTCCCACTTTGAGCTAATTATAATGGATAGATCACCCTAATAGTTGTGGCTTTAACCACAGGGCTAAATGTTTCTTCAAAATATATCCCTTCAAGCTGTGAGAAACCCCTAGCTACAAGTATGGCCTTGTATTTATCTACTATTCTATCAACTTTCAATTTTTTCTTGAACACCCATTTCGAACCAACCAAGTTTATACCAGGAGACTTAAGCACCAATATCCATGTCTTGTTAGTATGTAAAACATTGATTTCCTCCTATATAGTTGCAAGTCAATGAGGAGACCTTAGTGTTTTCTTAGTAGTATCTGGTTCCCTCAAAATCTTATTGTCGTTGTGAGCAACAAGTGATAGGTGTTGTTAATTTGCCTTGTGTATGGTGATCATATGATGTCCTTGTGGTTCAGGAGGTATATCAACTAAAGTAGCTGATTGTAGTTTAGTATCTTCAGGTTGGTGATACTCTGGCAAATTGCACTTTGAGAAGTCAACTTCTAAATGTTTTCCATGTGAGTTAGTCACAAAGAAAGTGGAATTTGATGAACCATCATTGACTGGACCTGCATGTTCAACCTGTTCCTCACTACCACTAGTTGATCCTGAACCTGCAACTAGAGTCTCATTACTAATGTCTGGACCATCATTTTTAACTTGTTCTATAATTATCTAATTTTGCACAGGAGAGGTCAGTAGCAGCAGTATCATCATCAAGGGGTATAAAGTTTGTTGTAGTAATATTTTCACCAATAACTTGCGTACTATTCGTCTGTACTTCCCCTGAATAAGGCTTATCATGCGCCTATAGTTTAGAGAAAGATTAAAAAAAAATAGCCAAATGATCAGGTGGGACATCAATGTTAGTCTGAGTTTGACTTAGAGACACATAGGGTAATGTGTTTTCATAAAAAAAACAACATGTTTGGATACGTACACCCTCCTTGTAGAGGGATGATAACACATGTATCCTTTGTGTAAGCTGTTGTATCCTATGAACACATAAGGGTAAATCTTTGCACTTAACTTGTTTCTACCTTTGATATATGGA